GCATCTGTAGCTGATAATGCATTTTTAGAATTTTTTTTCTATTCATCTTTATCATGAGTTACTTTTCTCATTGAAGATTCTTTAATAGCCAAGGAATTATCATTACCCAATGAAGCAACTTACTATGACTTTTATAATTTATCTGTCTGGCTACTTTACTATTACTCCAGATTTTTGCTAATATTATTGTTATTGCTATTGGTATTCACATTTTATTCATCATTAAAAGGAATCGAAAAACGCTTAAAGTAAAATTTATAGCAGTCATCAACTAATATTTAAATAAATAAAAAAAGATAAAATAGAACTCCTAACTAAAGCATTTTTTTGTTAAATTTTCATAAGCCTATCTATCAATTTTGCTTTATCAATTGCAAAGAAAGTTCTAAGCTTTTTATATATAAAGCTATAAAAATATATAGAAAATGTAGTAATTTAGGTCAAAAAACTAATAAAATTCAATTTCTATTTATTATAACTTTTAATTCATAGTAATATTCTAAAATGGAAAAATATTTTAAAGAAAAAATAAATTTATTACTGATTTTCTTGGCGCTTTTAAAGCTATACTTATCTTACAAATCAGGATCATTTTTACTATAATATCTTAAAAAAGCTGTTATTTCTGTTAAAATTAAAAGAGAATCTTTGTATACTCTTTATTTATCCTCTTCAGTGAAAGGCAGTTGTATTTTTGGATTCCTAGTTGTTGGTATTCTTTTTCTAATGAACTCTTCCAATTCGTTACACACATCATGTACTACGAAAGAATATAAAAAACTATTGAATTTTCAAAAAAAGGTTGTAAAAAAATTCGATTAGAAACTAAAAATTTATTATTATTTACTCTAATTCTTATTTCATGCTAAAATGTACTTGAAGTAATAATTAATAGTCTTCATTAAGAAGGCCTTCATAAATTCTTATGTATTAAAAGCGAAATAAATAAGGCCCATAACTTTTTACAAACACAAAAAACATTTCTTCACCATGGATCTATATACCCTTTTAAACATCAATAGGAATATATTCTTCTTCAAATGCCTTAAAATAATCTATCATGGATAATCTAAAATTGCTAACTTGAAATTCGTTTTGTTAATCCTAATTCAATTTGCTAGCTAGTATGTTATTTTTCAGATTCTATCTAATATTTTATTAATTATCATTAATATTGATAGATTTCACTCCTTTTGTATATTTATTTAAATAGCAATTAATTAAATAATAATTAATTTATGCATAAAAAAATAACTATTCATTTATTTTCTTTATCAACTTCAAAATTAAATCTTTTTTATTTTTATTTAGCATATACAATTATTGTTAGTAGATTCTTCAAAAAGCTTTGCCAGCTCTATTTTTTTAGTCATTGCGATTCTCAGAACTTCAATAATCATAAACTTACCTACCATTCATATGTAATTACTTGAATAATTATTTGATTAATTAAATAAAAGCTGTCTTTATGCTCCTATATTTCTTCTACTTCACTTTGTTCTTATTCCTATTTGCATTTAAAATCAAAATAATTCTTTGTAAATTCATTATCAACTGCTTAGAATAAACCTTTTTATATTCTTAGAAAATATAAATCGCTTAAAACAAAAATTTTATCATTTTAGAAAATAAACTCCACTTTGTCGTAAATAAATTTAAAAAATGTTTAAAATTATATTAAAAAAACATATTTATTTAATTATGAAAAAAATTAATATTATAATTTAAAATTAATATTATTTTGTTTTATGAAAAATTATGTTAAAATCAATCACATTTTTTACTAAAAGCAAGAATAAACCAGTTTAAAAAATACTTAGATGTTAATTGATTGACAAATTAATATCTTAAGTATAATCATGAAAAATATGAAAAGGTAACCATTTTTACAAGAGTACTAAAGAAAATTTTATGATTACATAAATAAATTTAATAATATTTGGATTTCATCAATTAATATAAATTAAAAGTTTCATTGCTTTAAATAATTCAAGTATGATGTCAATCAAATACAATCTATTTCTGAAACAACTTAGAATATAATTATAATTATATATTTTACTTGTTTGTTTTTAAATAAAATAAATTTTATTTAATTAAAATAAATTTAAATACTTAATTTAATGAAGAAGAAAAGAGAAGCAGATTAATAAGGTTATTATAAAAATATAATATTCATAAAATTGGTGATTCAATGTAAAATTACAAAAGCAATATTGATAGGATTTAATTTGGGCAAACATAATATTCTTTAAAATAATGAGATATCTGTTGATAAAACAAAATATATAAATTAATACTTGATAATTAATTAATCATTATATTTATTTGTTCTTTTTATCAATTTATAATTAATTAATTAATTTTCATAAATTTCAATACAATATTTTTGAAAAAAAAAATAAATGATATAATAGATTAAAAAATATAAAAAATTACAAGAAGTAATTTATTTTTTTTATTAATATCCTTTAAATTTATATAAATTAATAAAAAAAGTTTATAAGCTCTTAACTTTTATCTCATTAGGTTCTCCATATTGATCTCTAGTAATTTTATTAATTAATATTATTTTTATTATCATTAATATTTTTATACATTTAAATTTCAATTTATTTTAATAATTTATTTTTATAAAAGAAATTATCACCATTATTATTCATTGATTTTTATTAAAACAAAAAATTTTTAGCTTTTATTACTTAATTTTCATATCAATTTTTAATTATTTATTATTCATTTTTTATTTTGATATTTTTTCTTCATTTTTTGCTATTAAAACTTACACTTAAATAACAGTTTATTAGTTTTGGATTATAATTATTTTTAATTATAAAAGTTAATTTAAAATATTAAAGCTCTTTTAGTTTATTTGATTTCTTTTCTTTTTATTATGATTTCTTTTTTTTTTCATTATTGTTAATTTTATTAATTATTAATAAATATTATTATTTCATATTTTTTCTTTATTTTTTCCTTCTAATTAACTAGAGTGAAATGCCTATTTAATTTATGAAAGGCAAAATGTAGTATATTTTAAAAACATAATAAATAAAGCTAAATTAGCTTAAAACAGCTTTATTTTTGAGTTTTTAGAATGCTTTAAATTCTAAAATTTCAAATATTATATACTATCAATCCTCATTAATTAACACCAACATCCTCTCCCCCCCTCCACCCCAAATTTTTATAATTTTAAATTTAAAAAAATTTAAATGTATCTATCTATCTTATTTTTACTTTCAATTTATATTATTAATTAATTAATTAATCTTATTATTCATATTATTTCTTCATTTTTTCCTTCTAATTTACTATTTAATGATATATTTTTTTCTTCAATATTTAAAAAGTTTGAATTTAATTGGTGCTATGGGTGCATCAGGCTTAGGTTCTAGTTTAGCAAATTGCATTAATCTCTCAAATTTGACACTTGACCTTTAGTAAAAACAGTTTATTTATTTGTTTTGGATTGTGATATTTTAATTATAAAAACTAATTAAAAACAATAAAGCTCCTTTTTCTTTTTCTTTTTATTGTGTTTGCTTTTTTTTGTTCTTTCTTTGTTAATTTATTTAGCTCATCCTTTTATTTTCAAATTTTTTACTTTTATTATTAATTTATTAATCTTATTATTTCATATTATTTCTTCATTTATTCCTTCTAATTTACTATTTAATGATATATTTTTTTCTTCAATATTAAAAAAGTTTGAATTAAATTGGTGACGAAGGTGCATCAGGCTTAGGTTCTGGTTTAGCAAATTGCATTAATCTCTCAAATTTGATACTTGACCTTAAGTAAAAACAGTTTATTTGTTTTGGATTGTTATATTTTTAATTATAAAAACTAATTAAAAACAATAAAGCTCCTTTTTCTTTTTCTTTTTATTGTGCTTGCTTTTTTTTGTTCTTTCTTTGTTAATATATTTAGCTCATCCTTTTATTTTCAAATTTTTTACTTTTATTAATTAATTAATCTTATGATTTCATATTATTTCTTCATTTTTTCCTTTTAATTAACTATTTAATGATATATTTTTTCTTCAATATTTAAAAAGTGGCAATAAAATTGGTGACGAAGGTGCATCAGGCTTATGCTCTGCTTTAGCAAATTGCATTAATCTCTCAAATTTGACACTTTAATTTTAGTAAAAACAGTTTATTTGTTTTGGATTGTTATATTTTGAATTATAAAAACTAATTAAAAACAATAAAGCTCTTTTTTCTTTTTGTTTTTATTGTGCTTACTTTTTTTTGTTCTATCTTTGTTAATTTATTTAGCTCATCCTTTTATTTTCAAATTTTTTAATTTTATTATTAATTAATTAATTAATCTTATTATTTCATATTATTTCTTCATTTTTTCCTTTTAATTTACTATTTAATGATATATTTTTTCTTCAATATTTAAAAAGAAGTAATTAAATTGGTGCTATGGGTGCATCAGGCTTAGGTTCTGGTTTAGCAAATTGCATTAATCTATCAAATTTGACACTTAAATTTTAGTAATAATAGTTTATTTGTTTTGGATTGTGATATTTTTAATTATAAAAACCAATTAAAAACGATAAAACTGTTTTTTCTTTTTCTTATTATTGTGCTTGCTTTTTTTATTCTTTCTTTGTTAATTTATTTAGCTCATCCTTTTATTTTCAAATTTTTTACTTTTATTATTAATTAATTTATTAATCTTATTATTTCTTCATTTTTTCCTTCTAATTTACTGTTTAATGATATATTTTTTCTTCAATATTTAAAAAGTGTGAATTAAATTGGTGACGAAGGTGCATCAGGCTTAGGTTCTGGTTTAGCAAATTGCATTAATCTCTCAAATTTGACACTTGACCTTGAGTAAAAACAGTTTATTTGTTTTGGATTGTGATATTTTTAATTATAAAAACTAATTAAAAACAATAAAACTGTTTTTTCTTTTTCTTATTATTGTGCTTGCTTTTATTATGCTTTCTTTGTTAATTTATTTAGCTCATCCTTTTATTTTCAAATTTTTTACTTTTATTATTAATTAATTTATTAATCTTATTATTTCTTCATTTTTTCCTTCTAATTAACTATTTAATGATATATTTTTTCTTCAATATTTAAAAAGTGGCAATAAAATTGGTGACGAAGGTGCATCAGGCTTAGGTTCTGCTTTAGCAAATTGCATTAATCTCTCAAATTTGACACTTTACCTTAAGTAAAAACAGTTTATTTGTTTTGGATTGTTATATTTTGAATTATAAAAACTAATTAAAAACAATAAAGCTCCTTTTTCTTTTTCTTTTTATTGTGCTTGCTTTTTTTTGTTCTTTCTTTGTTAATATATTTAGCTCATCCTTTTATTTTCAAATTTTTTACTTTTATTATTAATTAATTAATTAATCTTACTATTTCATATTATTTCTTCATTTTTTCCTTTTAATTAACTATTTAATGATATATTTTTTCTTCAATATTAAAAAAGTGACAATAAAATTGGTGCTATGGGTGCATCAGGCTTAGGTTCTGGTTTAGCAAATTGCATTAATCTCTCAAATTTGACACTTGGCCTTCGGTAAAAACAGTTTATTTATTTTGGATTGTTGCTTTTTTTTATTCTTTCTTTGTTAGTTTATTTAGCTCATCCTTTTATTTTCAAATTTTTTACTTTTATTATTAATTGATTAATCTTATTATTTCATATTATTTCTTCATTTTTTCCTTCTAATTTACTATTTAATGATATATTTTTTCTTCAATATTTAAAAAGTTACAATGAAATTGGTGCTATGGGTGCATCAGGCTTAGGTTCTGGTTTAGCAAATTGCATCAAACTCTCAAATTTGACACTTGACCTTACGTAAAAACAGTTTATTTGTTTTGGATTGTTATATTTTTAATTATAAAAACTATTAAAAACAATAAAGCACTTTTTTCTTTTTCTTTTTATTGTGCTTGCTTTTTTTTTTTTCAACTCATCCTTTTATTTTCAAATTTTTTACTTTTATTATTAATTAATTAATCTTATTATTTCATATTATTTCTTCATTTTTTCCTTTTAATTTACTATTTAATGATATATTTTTTCTTCAATATTTAAAAAGAAGAAATTAAATTGGTGCTATGGGTACATCAGTCTTAGGTTCTGGTTTAGCAAAATGCATTAATCTCTCAAATTTGACACTTAACCTTAGGTAATAACAGTTTATTTATTTTGGATTGTGATATTTTGAATTATAAAAACTAATTAAAAACAATAAAGCTATTTGAATTTAATTGATATCTTTTATTTGATTTATTTTTTTATCTTTATTATACCACTAATACTATTTTATTTATTAATTTAAGAAATATTTTTTAATTTAATAGTTTAATCTATTTTGATATTTATTTAAAATATACACAAATTTATTATAAAATATTAGCCTAAATGATGTATCATAAAAGTTCAAAGTTGTAAGCAAGTGTCTTAAATCAAAAAGATTAGTTGTCTTTTAAAAAATATTCTGATTATAAATAAATCACGAAAAAAGGATGAATAAAAATTAAATGTTTGAATAATATTAAATAATATTTTGAAAATTTTTTTAAAATTTAAAATATAAACCGATAGATTGATAGATTTTATTATTGATTTTATATTTATAAATATCATTCATATTTATTTTTGTAAGTAAATAAATTATTTATAAAAAATAAAAAAATAAAATTTACTTAAATTCATAAATTCCTCTTAAGTAACCCTATGGTTTCTCCAAAAACGATCAAATAATTTGAAAGGATTTTTAAATCCAGGATTATCAATATATGTATGTATAACCAATAGTATTATCCCACTAATATATATAGTTTTAAATTTTTATATCATAAATAATTTAGAAGACTAAAAATTATTATTGGACACCTGAATTGCTATGTGCCAAATTTTAAAGATTGGTATTTGGTGTCCAATAAATAAATTTAGTCATTGGTGTCTAATACTAAGAAGCTATTGTTAACCATTTTTTTTAAAGATTAATTATTTAGATTTAAATTGTAATATTTAATGAATAACAAAATAAATTATTAAAGACTCTTGGTTTGATTAATTTTTAAAATTATATTTAATATGTTATAAAAACAAAGATAAGAAATATAAATGTATCTTAAGATTTTAATTTATGTTATAATAAGTGCAATTATGTTAATTAAAATTATAATATATTGGTTATAAGGTTAAACAAACAGTATTTTGTATGAACAAAAATACTTAAAATAGAACAAATAATCTTAAAAAATAAAACATTTAATTAATTTTTTCAATAAAATAATTTTTATCATGTTCTCCCTAATAGTAATAGCAAAACTTTAACAGCTTTTATTCTTTTTAAATGAAAAAAATTGCACTCAATAATCAGGTTCTTAGCCTTATACTTCATCATTTTCATCTGAAAAATCTTCATTTTAAATAAATTATTGCAAAATATCATCATTTTCTTCAAACCCATTGTCATCTTCTTCAAATTCTTCTTCATTTTCTTCAAATTCATCATTGCAAAATTCAAATTTAATTAGCTTATTAATTTTTAAGATTTTAAAGTAGAGTTTTCTTAAACACGTTAACTTATTTTAATTAGCCCTTTTAGTATTTTTAAGTAAATTTAAAAATTAATCAATATTTTCGAACAATAATGATGGCTTTATATTATTATCATTTGGTTATTCTTAATTTAATGAATAATCTAAATTGTAAATTTTTAATAAAATTACCTCATATTTAGATCCAAAAATAACAGATTTGAGCAGCAAGTTAAACCTAAACCTAAATCTAAGGCACCTTAATTTCTAATTTGATTCCAGCTTTTGATTTTTATTAATATTAATGATAGCATACTTGAATATTTCAGTTATTCAGGTAAATATAAATCTCAAATGTAAATAGAAAAAATTATTCAAAATAAATATTATATTTTGCTTCTTATTTTTTACCAAATTTACAATAATAAAATAAATTTACCCTAAAATTAGAGTTAAAGATTATAAGTTAGTGCATTTAGCAAATCCAAAACCCAAAGCAGATGTGCCTTCATCTCCAATATCATTTGAGCTTTTGATATATAATAGAATGATTGAAAAAATATATTAAATAAAAATGAACTACTTGAGAAAGTTAAAGACAAAATTGATTTGTTAAGTTATGAAAAAAATTATTTATATTTTTAATATAAAAATAAAAATTTATAATTGTTAATTTTTATTGACATTTTAATTATGTAAATAAATTAAATTTACTAGAGATCGAGATTCAGCTTTGATAAATTTATTAATTTTGCTATTCCTGAACCAAGTCCTTATGCACCCTCATCCCCAATTTTATTTGATCTTTTATACAATTTAAATTAGACAGTAAAATTTTATTAAAATTTTAAAATTATTTTTAAGTTTTTTTGAAATGAAAAGGTTTTATAAAAATTTATTGTTTTAAAACAAACGATTTTCTTTTATAAGCAATAATTTATAATTTAATATTTAGTAAACAACTTGCTAAATTTACTCTAAATTAAGGATCAAAGTTGAGATACTTGTGCATTTAGCCAATTCAGAGCCAAAAAGTGATGTACCTTAATTACTCATTTAATTCCATCTATCAAAGTAATTTTTATAGTTTATTAATTAAGTAGGTTTTAATATTAAATTTAGAATATTTTTTATTTAATTAAATAACTGAATTTTTATAAATTTACTAGAAATCAATTATCAGAGTTTAAAGTTGAGTGAGTTTAGCTATACCAGAACCTAAACCAAATGCGCCTAGTTAATTTATAGCATTTGAACTATTTTTATAGTTTAAATATGAGCAAACTTTCATTAACATTATTTATAAATATTAAATTTTGATTAATAAACTATATCTACTAGAAATTAAGAGTCAATGTAGCAAGATCATAGCACTTTGATAATCCAGAGCCTAAATTTGAAGCACCCTCATCGCTAATAATATTTGCACTATTAATAAATATATTTTTGGATATTAAGAGGTCATTATTAAGACTATCATAAAAAAATCTAAAAATAGCAAAAAAATTTAGTTCTAAACGATGAATGATAATTAATGTTTTTGCAAATAACAAATAGAAATTAAATTTTCTATTTAGTAATCAATAGTAAATATTTATTTTTTTAAGGAATTTATCAATTCTTTCATTTTATAGTTTGTTTATTTATTTATTACTAAAAATCAAGTTTCAAACAAGAGAGCTTTGCTAATTTAGACAATGCTTAACCTAAACTTGTAGCTCCAATGTCACCAATTAAATTGTAGCTTTTTTAATTAAAAATTTAATCAGAAATAGGATTAAACTGAAGAAAAAATGAAATAAATTTAAACAAAGAGGTAATTAAGTTATTGATCATTTAACAGTATAATTAAAATAAATAAATAAATAATCATTTTATTCATAATGAATGAGTGATAGTTTACAAAACTTTGAAAATTTCAAAGATAAGTCTATTTATGCAAATAAATAAATTTTACTTGAAATAAATTTCTAATGTTGAAAGGTTTATACACTTCTATAAACCTAAGCTTAAATCTGTAGCTCCTTGAGGACCAATTTTATTTTGCCTTTATGTTGATTTTAATAATTTGATAATAAATAAATAAATTAAATTTTAAAAATATTCATTTATATTAAATATCTCTTAAGTTTTTTTTAACTTAACTTTAATTGTTAAAAGTCTAAAAAATAAATAAAATTTTACTGAAAATCAATTTTCAAAGTAGAGAGGTTGACACATCTTGCTAATAGAGCACCTAGCTATGACACTCCTTAATGACTAATATCATTTCTCCTTTAATTTAATAATAGAAATTGAATTATTATTACATTTGATATAAAAAAACATAATAAATATTAAGAATTTTGTATTTGATTAATGTAAAAATTTAATTAATTGGCTTAAGTAAAAAGCATTAAAATAAATTTACCCTAAATTAAGAATCAAATTCTAGAGGCTAGTACATTTCGTTAAGTTTGTGCATAAATCTGATAAACCTTAATCGCAAATATTGTTATAGCTATTATAAAAGAATTGATTGACTGATCATAAATAATAATTCAGAAAATAAAAAAAATAAATAAAACTTTTTAAACAAAATATGACACTAAAGAGAGAGAATATTTATAAATTTAATTTAAAAATTTATTAAGCCATTTTTATCAAGTTAAGATTTAATTTAATTGATACAATTTACCTAATATTAAGAATTAATTTTTAAAGATTAGAGCATATTGCCAATTAGGAGCCTAAATCTGATGCTTGCTGAGGACCTAAGTTTTTTGAGCTTTTGATATTATTAGATAAAGAAAAAGAATGATTAAGGACCAAATAACTGAGAAAGATAAATTCATTATATAAAAAATAGAATATTATATTTTTTTATATTAAAAGAATTTTTGCTAGAAAACTTTAAAAATAAAATTTTATCATCTAAAATTAATTTTGGATGCTTCTAACATTTTTATGTAAATTAACTAAAATTAGAGAAAAAAAAGCACTTCAAATTTTATTATTAATTTTAATAATTATAAAAAATATTATTAAATAAAATGGGATCTATTTTACATGAATTCAATATTAAGATCAGTATGAAACTGCAATTATGAGGTTAGTAACTTTTTATATAAAATTATTAAAGTTAAGATTCTGCTAATTTCAAAATATAAAATTACATTTTCTAGATCTGTAAAATAATTATTTTATTCCATACCTATTTTTTCTTTCTATTTAAACAATTTGAAGCTTTAAATTACTTTTTAATAATATAAATTTTAAAATAATCGTTTCATTTTTCATTTCAAATTAATTAAATTAAAAAAAAGGAGGATAAATCCCTCCTAATAAAAGAATTAAAAAAAAATATACTAAAAACATCCTTTAGATACAAGAGATGTGAGGTGGTTGAACAACAAGGGAAACATATTTACATATTTTAGAAAATAAGTTATTATGTTTTACTTTAATTTTAAATTATAAAATTAAATATTAAAGTAAATTTAAGAATCAATTAAACTAGTTTATTTTTATTTGATAAAAGATACTTTCTCTATTATATATAATCAAGTAATAATTTGAAATAATGTTAGTTAATTAATTAACGTGAAAGAAGAATAGTATTCTAATTTAAAAGAAGTCAAATTAATAAACTTTTGTTATTTAATTTTTAAGTTTAGCTTTGAATAATTTGCAAAATATGGTAAATAGAAAGTAAATAAGTAAGTATAACAAAATAAATCTTCAATTTAAAAGCAAAATTGCTTAAGATAGATAGGGAAGATAAAATTTGATTGTCAAATTAAGATTTATTATCAAAATTAATCTTTTATAATCTTTGAATGCAAAATAGTAAATCCTATTTAAGAAAAAGCAAATTCAACTATTGAAGAATCACAAATAAAGTAACAAAAGATTAATTTTTAAAAGATTGCTATAAATTAATTAATTAGATATAGACAAAATAAATAAATAAATAAACTAATAAATAAATAAATAAGTTCATGATTTCGCCAAACTAACAACAACAATATATTCAACTAGGAAACTAGGTACCAGGCCGTGCTTGCTTCTTGGCAACTAATTTGATCAATATTTTGGTTCACACTTTGATACTTTTTGAAGGTTATCACAGCATTGGATCCTCTATAATATTCTTACATATCTTCGTTGGTTACCTTATCACTCATTATGTTTTGGGAGTAGTGTCTGCAATTGAATAAAGTCAATCTTTACACAAGTTTTACAAGATTTCCTGCGCTATCATAAGTATAGTTCACTTAATTGTTTGCAGCATATCTCTTATTTGCGTTATTGTCTTGGCTTCTTAGGGATCATCAGGAAATGAATTCTATGCTTTAATTCTAGTGATATACTTAATGGGTCTTACATGGTCTGGTGTTGAATTATGTATTGACTATTCTAATTACAAGTACATTAGCCAACTTATTGCTTCTTCTAGTAACTAATAGTTCTTGGGTTTACCTCAATCTGCCTATCTTAATCAAACTTCATTCCATTAAGTTGCTTTGCCATAATAAAATCAAGTTTAAGTGAATTAACCTTATGTACTCCACTATCCATAGCTACAATAATAAATTCCTCAACAAAATTTTATGGAATTTAAGCAATAATCATTCGCTTATCCTATTAAAGCTGATATTATGAATACTTAAAACTCAGTCCACAAATAACCTTTAATGTTGTAAAATGGTTATCCTCAATTCTAATGAACTATAAAAAATGAATTAAAATTGAAATTATATATAATAATTGCATATAGTATGAATTAAATCTTATATCAATCAGATTTGAAATTTATTAATCAAAATGCTTGAATTTAATTTGTGAGATAATTTTGATTTATTTTACAATTTCTTTCACTAAAATAAAGTATTCATTGTATCTAGTGACTGACTATCTATCTTCAAACATATTTATCATTAATATTATTAATACTAATTTTATGCAAAATATTATAAAAATGTATTTTTTTATTATTCTTTCAAAGGGTTAAATTCTTTGTATTTGCAAAGGCTTAAATTTATAAATAATATTTTTATATAATAAAATTTATTTTTAAAATAGATAATAATTTTGTTAATTAATTTTAAATTAATTAAATAAATATTAAAAATAATATTATAATAAAAAAAACTTAATAATCCCAAAAACAAAACTTGTAAATTATTTCAAATTAAATTTATTTTACTTATTATAAATAAAATTTCTTATTATTCTATGTAAATATCTTAATTTTTAATATAATCTATTTATAATTTGTCAAAAATTTTAATTAATAAATTGTAATCAATTTATTTTAATAGAATAAATTAAGATTTTGTTAACAATTAATTATCAGTATCTAACTAACTAACTAAATAAATATTTGTTTAGTTATTTATATATTTAATCATCTGTCTCTCTTTAAGATTGATTGATTGATTGATTTATTTATTAAAAATATAAAGGTATTTTTTTTTAACAAAATATTTTTATTTTTTTTACATAATTAAGGGACACATTGAAAGGATCTTACTCAATCATTTGATATTATTAATTAAAAGTAAATTAATTATTAGTGGAAAAAGAAATTTATAATTTAATTATAAAATGGATTCAAATTTAAAAGAAAATAATTGTTATATAGTTAATGAGGGCGTAGAAAACGAAATGCTCAGTGCTTCATATGTAATATAGAAATTAGAATAGGAATTGATCAATCCATTAAAATATTTTGAAGAGTGCACCTATAAAGATATTATCAAAATCAAATCTTTTGAGTAGAATTAAAAATAATGTATTCCAGAAGTGAAACAAAATTTTAGGCGATGCAAGATTTTTAATAAAGATATTGATATTTTACTAAATATTGATAAGTAGAGTAATTATAATAATACATAGCATGAAGCTAATAAAAAGGAAGAACATTAAATTGTTTCAGAAGGAAGTTCAGAGATTTCTGATTCATCATAAAATTAAAATCTAAACAATGAATCTAAATACTTAAGTTCACAGAACATATCTTGTTCTGAAGCAGAAAGCGAAGAATCTGAAACAATGCATACGGAGTTAGAAGACATGTAAAATATTAATCAAGACTTGGACGTGGATGATGATAATGATGATGATGATGATGATGATGATGATGATGATGATGATGATATTAACACTGTAACTACCTAACCTCTACTTGAAGAGGAGTAAATTGACATTTAAGGGCTTTAGGATAACAAAGAAGTAGAAGAAGAGTAGAAAGTTAATAACGAAATCTAATAAATAAGTATATAAAAAGGTGATCTTACCTAAAATGCTACAATCGAGGAACTAAATAAAGAAGAATATTTGGACAAGACAAATTTATATGAAATTAATAATTTGAATGATTTTTAGGAATATTTAATTAAGAATATTGAGTAAAATGTTGATTTAAATGAATAAATTCTTCAAAAATTAGAGCTTGTTGACAACAAAGAACAAATTAAAAGCTACTTAAACTAAGTTTGCATAACTATAGCTCACTGGAATCTAATATACATCGTGCAAAAATTGAATTTAGATTATTAATAATAATAATAATTATAGTAATAATAAAATATAAGAAATAATTATTCCAAATTTTAGAGAGAGCCATTAAAAGATTAGATTAGATTTTTTTAGGATTTAAATGAATTTTATAGGAATCATATTTACTTTAATGAATTTACTTATTATTCAACTTGTTAGAAGGAATATTTTGAAGCTTTAATAGACTAATTTTTAGATTTTTATATTAAACAGTAACAAGAAATTAAGATTTATGAAAAAGAATATTAAAATTTAATTCCAATAAAACTTTACATCAAAATAGAAAAGTTTAAATTATTTAATTAATTCTTTTTACAGTAACTCAATAGTTTAATTCAAGAGATTTAAAAAAATGATTCTAATCAGCCTTCTTTATCAGACAAAATATTTTGTATATTTCTTTTTACTAAATCAATTAAATTCGAAATTGAACTTTACATAAAGTAGCTGCCATCTTACTCAGCAAAATATAGCATTTAAAGTTAAATTTATGACAATTAAGATAGCAAAGTTTAATTGTTGATGGGACATACTGGAAGTGGTAAGTCAACTTAAGTGCCTCAAATGCTTTTTGCTTTAAATAATTTGTACCTAAAAAGTAAATATCTGACAAATAAAACCAAAGAAAATGTTATATTTTGTGTGTAGCCTAGAAGATTAGCTTGCAAAATGCTATATGAAAGAGTTCAAAACGAAATGTACGAATATGGATATCAGGTTGGTTACTATATAGGCAATTTAAAACCCTAATAAAATTATTAAAAAAAGCAAATAGTTTTTATAACTGAATAGATTTTTATAGATGAATTTGTGAAATACTAGAAAGGATAAAAGTCAATCCTTAGCTAATGCTCTCATGTGATTATTGATGAAGTACATGAAAGAAATCTAAAAACTGATATTATCATTGGATTAATTCATAGATCTCTAACTAACTCTAAATTAAATAAAAGCGGGATCAACTTTATACTATCGTCTGCAACAATAAACAAAGAATCTTTTTAGAAGTACTTTTCAAAAAATAATCTGAAAATTATTGAGATTTAAGGCCACTCTTACGATGTTAAAGTTGAATACTTGGATAGCACTTACTAAAATAAAAGTATGAAGGACAAAATTCTTGATTAGCTTGAAAAAATTATTGAAATGAATAACTAAGATTCATTTATAGAAGCAGAGTTTTAAGGTCATATCTTAATATTTCTTTAAGACTAAATAGAAATAAATGCAATTTTAGATGAGGCTGATAAACTTTTAAAAAATAAAAAAATTTACAATAAAAATTATGAAATCATGCAATTACATGGTAAAATGCATCAAAGCGATATTTAGAAAGTTTTTGAGTAGAGAGAAAGAGTGACAAAAATAATTTTTTCAACAAATATTGCTGAGGCTTCGATTACAATAGAAGGAGTAAGTGTTATTTTAGATTCTGGTTTAGAGAAGACAATAATATTTGATCCCAGCAGAAACTCAAATGTGCTTACTGTTTAAAATATATCTAAATCTCAGGCTGAGTAGAGGAAAGGCAGAGCTGGTCGTACACGCGAGGGAATATGCTATAGGTTGTATACTTAGGAGCAATATTAAAGGTTTGAAATTGATAAGCAACCTGAAATTATGAGATCTAATTTAGGGTTTGCTATTTTGAAGATCATTGAAGTAGGTGTTTAAGACATAAAATAATTCGAATTCCTTACTAAACCCAGTTATAGTTTAATACAAAATAGCTTAAACACTCTTGAAGCATTAGAGGCGATAGTAATAAATAAAAATCTTTGCAAATTGACGGAAATAGGAAAGTGCATTATTCAGACTAATTTGGAACCAACTATTGCCAGAATATTCATTAAGGCAATATTTTTAGGAGTCTTAGATGAAGTAGTGAAAGCGATGGCTGTTTATTCTGAATATAATAATATATTTTCCAACTCTTAAGTTAGTAGAGATTTATTTAAAGCAATCATGAATGACTATGAATTTTAAAATCATAAATAAAAAAATTATGATCAAAATTAGAACCAAATAAATTAGTACAACAGTGATTTTGTTTTTATGTGGATTACCTTTGAATATTTAAAAAGATAGTAACAAAGACAAATAGAAAGAAGACAACAGTATGCAAATAAAAACATTAATTATACATTCAAAAAAGTTAATGAATACTACCAAGAAGCCATGCAATCTATTTAAGATTTATTTAAATATTTAAAAAAGCGCTTTTCACTCCTTAAAGAATAAGATTCTAGTGAAGTAGGATAAATAGCTAAAGGTTTAAAGAATGGCTATGTGGCTAAATAGTTAATTCAATAAAAATATGATAACATTGTTTATGCTTTTTTCTCTGGATTTTCCAGTTAGTTAGCCATTTACACGGGAATACATAAGCTAGGATTTTTGAACATTCAAACAAATGTCTTGTTTTATGTTCATCCTTCGTCATCTCTAAATTATTAGAAAAACAGCAAATAAACAAATAGGGTATTCTAAAAAGGTTAAATACTCTTTTTTTCAGTTTTGGAAGAAAGAGAAGTAAACAATTTTGCTAAATTTGTTTCCTTTCTGAATGAAGATTGGATAAAAGATTAATAAACTATTTAAAATATGAAAGATAAATCCAACTATTAACCATATATCAAGTTGAATGGAGAAAGACCATTGTTGGAGTATTTCTCAAGAAATCAGTTTTTAAATATTTAATAATAATTAGATAAAATGGATATACCTAAGAAGGCTAAATATTGTGTACTTTTTGAAAAAGATAAAGGTTATATCCGCTTTTTTTGCAACTAAGAAATGCAGCAATGTATGGACAGCTTAAATATTCCTCAGATTTTTCAAGAAAGCAAAGACTAATATTTAAAAGAACAAAAAAATGAGTAAATTCTAATTAGGTACAAAGACAGTTTTAATTATGCTTTGATAAGAAATGGTCTCACTATCAAAAAGCTCATTCTTCCTCATGAATTCCTTAGAGTTAGTTTAATAGATATCCCATTCAAAAGTAACTAGTAAAGCATAAACAATTTAGTGCAGCAAATTGAAGACAATAAATTAAGATAGTATAAGGAAGTTAAAATCATTAAAGATTACATTAGCTAAACAGCTGTTGCTTTATTTATTTTCAAGAACACTAAAAAAGCATTTGCTTTTTACGAAGCTTTGACAAAAATGAAGAGAAGTAAAATTGCAGAATTGCTGTCAGCAGAGGATAATTAGCTACCGAGAATAGTTCCTTAGCCTGAATGCGAATTTTATATAGAATAAATTAAAAATTTATCTAAATCTGTACTAAGAGCTCAATGGAGTATATGTGAATCACTTTGCTTCGGTAATATGTACTTCAGTAACGAAGTGGATGTCTTGGCGACCTATGATTAAATGAAAAAAGCCAATTTGTTTAAAGTAAAATACAATATCAAAGAAGATGCTAACAGTGGAAATTTAATTCATATCTTAGCCTTAGACAAGCTTGATCCTCTTACCGATGAAATAGATTTATAATCCTATGTTGTTAACACCTACTAAGGTTATTTATCTTGTGAAATTAAGAGAGAAATAATCGATCTTTCCATTTAGCATAACATAGACTTGGAAGAAGCTAGGTAAAAGAGAAATCTTTAAAATTTAATCTAAGACACAATTAACGAATTTAATTTCTTAAATACCAAGCAGAGCGTTAAAAGTTAAAAATTTTAAAAAGGCTAACAAAAATATTAAGAAGCTAAAGAAAATATATAAATAAAATTAAAAATACACAATGGTGTTTGCAAGGCAGAGATTATGCTTGACTCTCATGTATATGCTCAAGAGCTTGTCAATAAGTTTGATGGCATTGAATTTGAATGCCAAAGGCTTCGTATGTAAATACAAAATTAATAAAAAATTTTGGTTTTGGGTGCTGTTTACTTATTTTACTATGACAATATTCGCTAGTATATTGATGAGGCAGGATAAAGTGTTCAAGTCATTGCTCCTAAATACGATAAAGTATTTTATCTATCTAAAACGGTAGAGATTATTACAAAATAAATTTACTCAAGCTCAAGTTAGATTTTTTAAAAGCTAAACTACTAAATTACCAATCTCATTAAACCTGATTTAATTTATTTAAATTGTCTTCCACTTGATCTAGAAAATTTGATGAATCAGCAAAGTAATATAGTAGAAGGCATGGAAAAATAATACGAATGCATAATCAAGCTATCAGGAAAAAGAAGCTCACAGCTTAAAGTTTGGTTTAGAAAGGATAAAACAGGTGATCAAATAGCTTCAGAAAAGACGAAAATTAAATAAGTATTTGAGGAATACTTATTCTAAAAATTCAAATTTAACAAACAAAATTATCATTTTAAATAAGTTGAAGATTATTTACAAAATATGCAAAAAAAAAATATCATACAAAGCTATGAATAAGATAATAAAAACTTTACAATCACAGCTACAAAAAGCTAAATTTAAAAAATTTAACAAGAAATTAATGACAAGAATAAAAAATATCTTAATAAGTAGAAATCAAAAGTCGAACAACAAGATGATCTTGAGGAGGAAGAAACTTGTTAGATTTGTTAAGAATTTAAAAATCTTTAAAGATTCTCATGTGAGTGCTTATTTTGTAAAGAATGTATCTCTTTATTCTTTTTAACTCAATCCTAACAGTTCCAAAGCACAAAGCCCTTAGCCTGTCCAAATCACCAAGATTAGCCTGTCAGTATTAAATTAATTGAATCTATTTTAGATCCCCAGCAATTATAAGAACTCATTTAATTAAGAATTGATCACTCTATTGAGAATATGATTCACCCTACAATACAAAAATAAAATTACATAAGATGCCCATCTGTAAATTGCAATCAGTTTTTTGAAAGAATATATCCAAAAGAACAAGAAGATAAAGAGCAATTATCTAATGGCATACTCTCTTCCAATTCAGAAACTTTTGAAGAAATTCCAATATAAAAAAAAGGTTCTAAGATACAAGAGGAGTTGTCAGCCACCGAAAATTTTGGGATAGCCCCTAGAAGAGTTAAATGCTATGGCTGTTTCCAAGAATACTGTCTAATTTCTTCAGGAAAATATTTTGAAGAACCAGAAAAATAAATACATAATACCCATTCAGAGAGTACATGTGAGCAATATTTTAAGCAATTATAATAAGACAAAGAAAATCTAAAGGGTATCGAACTTATCACATGCCCAAAATGTAATTTTAAAGCCACTAAGGGAGAAGGCTGTAATCACATAACCTGTAAATGCGGAGCTCATTTCTGTGCAAAATGCCTTAAATAATTTAAAACCTCGAAAGAAGTGTATTAACATTTAGATAAAGAACATCAAGGATATTACAATTGAAGTTTACTAATAAAGATCTTAGCTATTACAATTAATTAATTAAATCAATAAATAAATAAATAATTCATACATTAATTTTAGTTCAGTAGAAAATAAATATTTTTTTGTGAAAATTTAAATTGATTAAAGATATTTTGATTAACTAATTTAATTAAAAATTTGTTTCGGATAATGTTACATTTAATTACTGTAACTAGTTCTGCTATTTAAATAAGCGAAGATCAAACAAAAAAATTATTTAATAATGATTTTTTTAATTTATTTTACACTTTTACTTAAATTTAGAAAAATTTTTAATTCTTAAATTAAATCAGAGCAATGATAAATTAATCAGCATCATTTCTTTTTTTTAATCTCATCATGAAAAAATATTTTAATTTAAATTACAAAATCTACTTTTAAAATAATTAAATTTAATAAAAAGACATAAAAACTTTTTAATTTATTAAGAATCTTTATGTTTTATTTCATTTCAAATTTTTCTTATTAGTATTAAATGCTGCTTATTTATCTTTTGATACTTTAACTTGTTAATTTTTAAAACAAAATCATATTATATATTATCTAATTATTTTGACTATAACTGTGATTGAGCTAGACATTCAGAAAGATTATTATAAATATTCTATCAAATACAATTTTGCTAAATATAAAATGTCCCTTAATACATATAGCTAAATAAAAATAATATTTTGATTTCATTTTATAAATCTATATTTTTATAAATAATATTTTATTGTTTAATGATATTTTTATAATAGAGAAAGATAAATCTTAGAAAAAGAATCCTTTTTTTGTTTTTGTTATTTAAATGTTCAATCACCTACACGAATGTATTTCTTATTTAGAATATTATTCTCGGTGATAACATTCGTATCAATGAATATGGGCTCACTAATTGAAGGATCTTTTTATTTTGCTTAAGCAAATATAATCTTCCATTTTTCTTCATTCTTATAAATTAATTTAATGTTTCCATTTACAATAGGAAAGAAATATTCGCTTTTTTAAGCTAAAGCTTCTTCAAAAGATTGATTATCTAAATCTTTGATAATAGTCTTAAGTAATGTGAAACTTTGCTTCATAACAGGATGCCAGTGATTGTTTGCAAGCTAACAAATAGAATATGTAAATAGTGGGTAAGTTAATGCTTTATAATAGATAAAAACTTTTAAAAAAGATTCGTTTTCAAAAAAGCACATTGCCCTATCAGCAACTTACAAATTAGATCCAGTTATACATTAAGCCAATCGCCATAAAAGTTTTTAAATGATATTTTTTAATGATTAACACTCACAAATTTCTATGATACCTAGTATTATATTTAAAAAGATAAGCTATTTTTAGGTATTATCATAAGGCCAGTAGCGAATGATTGCTTCAAGGAGAGAATACGCGAGAGAGGAGTCCTTTGAAATAAATTCATGGCATAAAATTTCTAGATCATTAAAAAAATCTTTATCTTCGAATAATTTCACTTTATATAGAGGAATTAAAACGCTTTTGAAAGTAATAACATGCTCTTCCCTAAGTGGGGTAGTAAAACCACGAGTAAATTAATATATTGACCATAAAATCGTTTATACACCTTCCAATTTATAATCTTCATGGATTAAAGATCTTAACTATTAATACAAAGCTTCCCTAAGATTTCTTGCATATTAAAAACAATATAAATTTTTAAATAATCGAAACAATTCATCTTTTTCATAAGAATCCTCTCTGTTAAAGGATTGAACAAATTCACAAATAAATTGTTTAGTAATAAATTTTTTGAGATATTTTTATTCAGTTTCAATTACTATGAATAATAAAAAGTCGCTAAAACATTTAAAGCGTTCCCTCTAAGGATTGGTTTCTATTACTTCGAATTCATAAGTCAAATCTTTTTTAATAAATTATTTTAAATTATCTTTTAAGTTGTTTAATAAATCAAAAATATTAATTAAATTTTGATGGACTTTTAAATGAATTGAATTATCAATATTAATTTATAATTATTTTTTTTTAAATATCTTTAAACTTCATATTTTAAGTCACCTTTCTACTCTATTTAAATATTTTATAAGAGTTTTAATTATAGGTGAAATTAAATAAGGTGGCAGATTTAGTAGTTTTTTTCCTTATTCCACCATTTTTCTTTATAAAAACAAAGTCCAAAAACTATATACCATTAAATATCAATGCAAAATTCACTTTTTTTATCCAAAATAATGCCTTAATTAAAAAAATTATCTAAATTACAAATAAAAGCTTTAATAATGTATGAACTTTTATGCTACTTATTCTAATCTTAAATACTAAAAAATTTTTATCTTGCATTATTAAAAAGTTATATTTGATGAGAATTTAATTAAATAATTACTTGGTTTTATTTCTTTTATCATAGCTGCAGGTCTACGAAAAAGATTTATTGATATCATATCAATAATGAGTTTCATGTTAGGAATAAATAATAGTTTTAACATATTTTGCTTTTCAAAATCAGTTGGAAATTTACCTAATTATTCATTCAGCTCTTTTATATAATTTATTTGCTATTACTTTTCTTTTTGATTCTTACTCAAATCATTTAGGTCATATTCGATAGAGCAAAACAAAATTATATCTAAAAATGAATCATTAATTTCTTTAATTGTAGGCTTTTTTCTGATGATATAATTTTTTAATTATTGAGAAAGGGTCTCAAATGAATGAAATTATTTATTGTTTTGCATATTTTTATTTTCTTTTTAGCAAATATTTTTATAAAATTAATTATTTCAAACAATTTTTTTTTGAGAAATAAAGATTATTTATAACGTAAAAAGAATGAGTGAGTACTAATTAATTATGATAACAAAATTAATATATTGTTTATTTTCTATATCCTCTGTTCAATTTAGGAAACTAACATTTCTGATTGAAAAAAGCTATCTCATTTATTTTAAGTTAGTTATTTATTGCTTTCTTTTTTTGTTAATTTTTATGATAAAAATTTTAAAGAAATTTTTAAATTAATTAAAATAATTTAATTTTTTTGTTTAATTTATTTTACTGTTTTCCTTTAATAAAATTAGATTTTTCCTTTTATTTATTTATTTTTTAGAAGATTAATTTTGTGTGCTTTTAAAAAATAATACTTCCAATATTTAAAAATTTTATTGAATCTATTTATTTAGATAGTAAATGAATGTATTTTATATTTAAAAGATAAATATTACATTTATTTTCAAATTTTGATAGATTTTTTAGCAATAACTTATGAGAGCTGACTAATAGTTGAAATTTAAATCTACTAGAAAAAGATAAAGACGAAAGATGTGATTTTATTTGGTTTCTTCAATAAAATTAAAGAAAATAACTAATAATTTTTTTATTTTAATAAAGATTTTTATTCCATCTCAAATAATTAATTAATCCTAATGAATTATTGATTCTATATAAATCCTTACATACTTACTTAATTCCTTTCATATTATTTTTAAACTAAATAAAATGTTTTCAATTTTACAATAAATTATTTAAAAAAAATATAAATGCAATTAATTAATTTACCCCTTAAAAATCAAATTTAAAAATTATTAATTAATTTAAATATGTGATATATTTATATATATAAGAGGGTATTTTTTAAAACATGTATGGATTAGAAAGATCATTTTTTTTATCGTTGTTGGTAGAACAAAATAAAATATAAAATAATTTACAAAATAATAACTATGTAATTAGTTATAATCAATTAAATATTGAGTAAAAATAATAAAAGTAAATCAATTCATTTGAGTGATTGATGTGGGATCTAAGACCATTTCTTAAGTTTAATTTAATTTGTTTTCTTCTTTTTCATCTCCTTTTTCTTTATTATGGCTTGCGTTGATTAGAGCTAGTATGAAAAGAATAGCTACTGAGATTGAGCCTCCTATTAAGAAGAAGTACTTAGAAGCCTTTTAGTAAGGAGAGACAGTTTATTCATAAGGCTCGTAAGTTTATGATAACTCTAAGGCTTTAATGTGAGGATCTTATTTATCATAAATTTCAAAATTTATGTCTACTGAATCTCTTACTTTCATATTCTAGTGGACTATTTATTTTTTGGTGTCTTAAGAAGTTTTAATAAAGCTGTATTTTTCATACTATCCATTCTTGTAGCATCCTCCAATTATTTTTTTGTCAGAGAAATCCATAACGGCACAGACGCTGTTAACTTAGAATAAGCCTCTGCAAACTTTCTCTCTATTTTCATTTTAAACGATTTCATTTTTATTTTTAATACAGTTTTCTACACAAGATGTAATATCGAAACACATTCCTTAAGCTATCATATCTACCATGTTAAACTCTGTTTATAGTATAGTTTAGAGGGTCATTTAAGAATTTTAATCTTATGAATTGATAAGTTTGTTTTCATCGTTAATTTCATTAACATAGAAGTTGAAAGATAAATTCTAAGAATTTGATGAGTAATTCCATTAGTGGCTGATTTGAATATTGCCAAAATAGTCAGAACTTTGTAAAGGAACAACTTGAGATATTAAATTGAATGGGGCAAGCTACTTATTATTTACTTTTAATGAATTAGATAACTTTCCATTTTGATCATTAATCTGTAAAATTATTTTATTTTCAATTAGATTTTTTTATAATTCTTGCTCTTTGACCCAAGCTCTTTTTGCAAATATCATTTAAGTATTATTCTTCATATCAGGATCATTTATAGGAATTAAGATAAGAACTAATGCTGCTACCAAGTTAAATAGTGCGAAGATCAAAAGCGAATAAACTACGAAACTTTTTAGTCTTCCTATTTTCTCAGTAAGACTTAAAAAATCTAAATTCCTTTAAGTATTGCTTACTGTATTCATAATATATATTTATTTTTGTATTTTTTGTCAATAATATATGTTTTCTTCTTTATTTAATAATATTTGATTGAAATATCCCTTAATTAATTTCAAGTAAATAAATTGAAAAAATCTATCTTATTTTCTATTGTCTTAGCATTAATAAGTTCACTCCCATTCATTTATCAATTTAAATGTTAATCATTCAAATACGATTCATGTATCAAACAAAGTATATTGTAACATATAAATAAATAGCATTCTAAATATATATATTAATTAACAAAAACTCGCAAACAAGTCAATAAGAAAGATAATTAATTGATTAGATAGATAGATAATAAAAACCAAAAAATACCAGCTTTTTTATATTATTTTTGCTTTAATTTTCTAATTTTAAAATTTAAATAAATTTAACAAATAATTGGTCTCTTCAGTACAACATAGATACTTATATATTATTTGCATAACAAAGTTACTCAAACTATTTCACAGTTAAAAAATCTTGACTTTTCTCTCTTCTGCTGTCTAATAAATTTAAACAAGAATTTCAAATCTTATTACTTTAGTTGCTATTATAAATAATAAAGATAGATAAATTAGTTCATTAATTATTAATATTTAATTATTTATTTTTAATTTACAGCAAAGAAAAAAAGTAATAATTTTATTTAGAAAAATTATCTACATCATACTTTGATAATTTATAAAATTATGATTTTAATTAACTTAAAAATCTTCCCAAAATAATCAGCATTTTCTTCGTTTATTAATGTGAAGAATACTCTCATAGAACCTATTGAGGTTTTATTTTGTATATAATTAGATTTTTCAGGTTTTTTTAGAAAGTTTAAAGTTAAGATAGACTTTAAATCTCATGAAAAATAATAAAATTTTATTCTGCTTTTTAACATTATTCAAATTTAATGAATAGTTTTTCAAATTCATAATCCTATGAAAAAAGTATGAATAATTAATAAATTTTTTTTAGTTAAATCTGAATAGTGTAAATACAGTCACTAATGTTAAAAAATCTATTTAAATTATTTACAATTTTATCAATAAAAAAAAGTATTAATAATTTTAGAAAATTCTATCTCTTTGAAAGATAATCAAGATATTAAATTTTTTTTGCAAATTAAAAGAAATTTAAAAATATTTTAACAAATTTTGCTTGAATACGAATAAAACTATCAAATTCCACATTTGTTTTAAAATTCTTCATGAAAACTTTATTCTTCAAGAAAATTTTATTCATGATTTTTCATTCAACTAAAACTTTTTAAATAAAATAAATTTATAATTTAATTTCTTTTTATTTAGACTTCGATAAAAAGTGAATTAATTTTTAAATAAATAAAATATTGTTTATATAAATGAGATAGATAGAAATAGAATAATTAAATTTGAAATAATAATTATTAAGTTTTAAATTTTATATAATATATAAATAATTACAAATATCTATTATAAATAACTAAAATGAAAATTTCTAATTTTTTATGTTGGTAATCTCTCTGGCAATAAATCAATCTAAATAGTCTTCTTCACATGTTTTTATTGAAGAGAATTTAACTTTACCCTTTTAATTTGATGAAGATTTGGAAATTCTACTTTTATGACCATTTTAATCTTTATTATTAGCTTATTACTCTTAAACATTGTCATAATCTTCTTCTTCTTCATCATCATCATCGTAGTCTTCTTCGTCATCTTCATCCTCCCATTCGTCTGAACTACATTCTGCTTTATGTTCACTTTGCTTATTTTTATTTTCTTAGGCTTAACTAGTAGAATTAAGATTTTCTTCTTTTTTATCAGTATTTTTAATTTAAACTTCTTTTTGTTTTGACAAAAAGTTCTTCTATCCTTATTTTTTTTCAAAATGCAAATTTTCTTATTAATTTTAATATATATCTTTTTCAATATCCTCTTCCATGTCTTTCAGCATCTATTTATAGTAGTATTCTTCATCTTAGCCCATATAACTGTAGTTGTCTTATTCTTATCTATATCTTTCATATTCATCATCGTCATAATCATAATCATATTCATCTTCTCCATCCATATCATATAAAAGGTCATCTTCATCTTCAACATCTTCATATTCATCTTCATTTCCGTCTTACTAATAATCTAAATCTTCTTAATTTTACTATCTCTATGCTGATTTCAATCTTGCTTAAACATTCATCAACTTCAACTTCATTAATACATCTTAAACTTCACTATTTGTCCTTCTTAATTGCATTACTCCATTCTCGAATTTTACTTTTTATATGAATGCATTTTAAAATCATGCAAATTCCTATTAATTAATCAATAAACAAAGCAATACCTTCTGTCTTCAAATTTATTTTCTTTTGGCCTTTATATATTTCATCGCATTCTTCAGGGGTAAGTTTATTCTAAGAACTTGAAAACAAAATAGTTTTGAAGTCGAAAATCTATTTAAGAGCTGGGTTTTATGTAACAACAGAGTCGTATATTGATGATCTATCTGCTGCTTGCTATTGGGAATAACTTTATGATTAAGAATTACTAATCATTTGGATACTAATTACTAAATATTAATTTTGCGAACAAAATTTAATTATCTTTTAGACTTGTAAGTTTTTATCACTTTTAAAGTTTATAAACACTTAAATTTGTAAATTAAATGAGCTTTTATTCTCCAACAACAAATTTTTAATAAAACTACCAAAATGATTTAAGTGCAACTTAATAATATTAAAATTTTGCCATGACAGAGCTCTATCAGCAATCTAAGTCCGAGCAGCAGTTTAACTCAGACATGGATGTGATTGGAAGGGCAATATCAGATTTAAGCAATCGATTAGCGAGTGGTTAAATAAATTACGGCACATTAGATCAATCAAAATAGCTATTAAATGAAAGAACTAATCTTTAAGAAAAAACTAGATAATATTATAGGAATGTATGTAAATTTTGTTGAATTGATGAACAATTTTAATCGATTTATGTGATTTTATTCAGATGAAAGATTTTCTAGATGTTTTAAACGATAAATCAGGGAATTATACTTCCTATGATACTCATGGAACCTTTTAAACCTTTAAAAATCTTAGAGAAAAACTACAAATGGATAGAGGCATAATCATGGCAAAACTCTTTCAATTCACGAACCCATCAGCATAAGCAAACAATATAAGCAGAAATACAAGTTTGTCAAATATAGGGAAAAATCTTTTGAACAATTCGATGCTCTCAAATGATGTCAGTAGATTATATGATAAGAATGTTTCTAAGTAGATTCTTATGCCAAATGGTAAGTAATTTTCTATTTATTAACTAAATAAAATAGTTACAAATTTAATTATATTGAATCGCAAAAGGAGGCGCTTTAGATAGAAGTAGCATGCTTTATTCAGCACAAGGATCTACAAGAATAGAGCCTAATGCATCAATATCTCTTGTTAATCCTGATAAATCTGCTTTAAGTCTTTTTAATAATTCAATTAATGATAGCCTATAAAATGCAACAAATGTTTCAAGACTTTAATCATAAAGTTAATTACAACCACCTCCTGATAATTCAATTATATAGTCTTATTCTGAATAGATAAACAAAAGTTACAAATAGGGATAAGACATAGCAGACGAAATAAAAATGGGGTTTGCAGGGCTTGATCCAGCACTAATTAATGTAAATTATTCATCAAGCACAAAAGTTTTAATAACTTTAACCATTTTAATAATTAATAAAGGGTAACCAGAGCTAGCTTACAAAAGCATTTAGGTCAATCTTGCCAGAAGGAGAAAAGGAAATTGAAAAAATGTCAGAAGAGGAGAAAAAATTTATCAATTTAATTACGAAAGTTGGAGACGCACAAAGATTCCTTAAAAAGATTCCTCAAAACTCTCCTTTGTATTACCAAAAGCTTTAAGAAATAAACATGCTCACAAATCTCAAAAATGATGTTGAAAAAATAGTTTAAGAATAAAAATATTAAAGGTAAGTATGTACATGATCTATCTAATTATAAATGATTATTTTTTTGTAATTATATCAAATATTTATTTATATTTTTTAAATAAAGAATGAGGGAAGATTATGAAAAAAGTGGGAAACCAGATCCAGAAAGGGAAAGGTAATTAAAAATAAGAGGAGGTTTAATTTAACGTTTGAATGATTTGCACAGTTCAAGAAAATATCATCCCTTTGAAGGTTTTACAATATTTTGGGACTGGATAGTGAATTTACCCAAAAAATATGATAGTTGTAAGTTATAATGGGGTTTATTTAAGAAGAGTGAAGTTATAGTCAGTCCAAAATACATAGAAGAGAGATAAGCAATAGCCATGAATTTTAATAATAAATAAGTTGTTTGGGGAGACAGAGATCATGTATATGATATTAAAGCCCATAAAGATATTTTGCTTGTTGTAGAATTGTAGTGTTATTTTAAAGATCTTTCAGGTAAGCAATCTATGGATGTCTATGGTTGGTCTATCCTTGAATTGTTTGATCTAAACTTGGATCTAATGAGAGGAAAGTGGAAAATACCATTTTATTCAACCAAGATCAACCCTAACGTTTTAGTTAGTCAAGTAAAAAGGCTTTAAAGTCAAAGTAACACAATGTTACATTTGAGAATATGTTTCCCATAAGACCATGAGTTTGGTGACGAATACCCATTGCATCCTTTAAGTCAAGGCGTAATATATAAAACCATTTTTTTCTTATATAAAATAAATTCAAAATTAACTTTGCTTTGATTTTAATTTCATAAAATTTCACTTTTCAAGATCGTAAACAAATAAATAAGTGAATACTAATGAATTTTATTAATTTAACATGATTTTTTAGCAAATAAATGATTTTATTTTTGGTAAAAAACTTAATAGAAGCTTGACTTAAAAAATAATTCAAAAAAATAAGTTTTTTTAATAAAATTAAGGTTTAAGCCATATTTATTTTTTTAATATCTACAATTTTTAAATTTAAAAAGAAATACATTTTTCAATACACCATTATTAAAACAATTTATTTATTTATCTAGAATGAATTCTTCCTTCCTGTAATTCATAAGAAAACTCTTATCTAAGCTTCGATAGAATGGGATTTAACAAAATCTCTTTAGACATCAGAAATGTTTAATAGAAAGGATGAGTCTTCAGATGATGACAGTGACATATCTGAAGATGCTGACGCTAATTTTGGTAAGGGTGAAATGGGCCCATAATAACCGGCTGTAGAAGAGTGGAAACCAAAGCCATATCCTGATAATCGTAGAGGTCTTCATGTATTTTATAATATTATGAATTTAATATTTTTTCATAGTTGAATATTGAAAAATAAATAAGGTGACCATTCATAATTTACTCAGATACTTGAAAGATAGAAGGTCTAAGGTTAGATGCTTTCTAATAGATACTAAAAGAGGTACTATAAAGGATGACATGGGAGATGAGTGTATGTTTGAGACAGATGTGTATGCTCCAAGTAAAAAGCCTAAACTAAAATAGGGAGAAGAAAGCATAACAGATTAAATAGAAGAATCTATTTTAATCTAGGAAGGTATAACTGCAATCGAGGAAGATTACCACTTTTTTGTGGATATTGAAACTTATGCATATAATAACAAGGCATTCGAAGATGTTTTCTTACTTTTCTAGGTATACAGTGATAAATACTAATAAATAGATAGTGATGATGAAGATAATGAGGAAGATATTGATGCAAACACAAAATTAATTGTTGATGAAACTGGTAAAACTATCAAAGTAAGAACAGATGGTACCGAAATCGATAAACATGGAGAAAAGAAGAAGAAGAAAGGAGTCCTTTAGGGTAAATCTTGGTATGCATTCCCTCTTTTCGAAGGAGATCGTGCAAATCTAGGACATTACATCAAATAACTATACGATTTGCCAATTCAAAAACCTCCTTTTAATGAACATGCTATCAATTTTTTTGATAACTCAGAAATAGATTTCTCCATCAACTTCTTCGGCTACACAAAGGATAATATGAAGAATCTCAAGTAAAAGTACCAAGACTTAAGAGACTTCAAAAAACAACAAAGAAAGAAACCTAAGCCTCCCAAAAAGAAGAAAGTTATAGTTAAGGATGAGCTTGATGACCTTTCTAAGGCCTTCTTAGAGAATCTTGAAAGGTAGTATCATGATAGGCCTTTTGAGAAGGGTTATGGTATTGACTTTTATGTTGATGCTGCTAGATTCCTACCTGATAATGTGACTATTTGCAAAGTACTTTAAATTAACTTTTATTCTTTATTTATTTATTTATTTTATTTTTTTATAATAGATATCAGTTACAATTATAAATCACAACTTTGAAAAAGTCTTTGAGTCTGATGCAGCTCTTCCTGATCTTTTAAGTGATGCTTTTTCTCCTAAGTTCTCGTTCAGAAAAGAACTCAGAGCTACTCATTTTGACCCAACTTTGTAAGCTTTCATGACTGTAGAAACAATAGATAATATGAATAAAGAAGTTAGAATTGTTGGTTATAGCATTATCAATTTCTTCTTGAATTAAAAAACTAAAAAGTAACCCACAAACTAGCTTGATACTGACATTATTCTGCAAGATGGAAATTACTAAATACCTATTTTTTGCTAGCATCCACCTAAAATTAAACCATTCAATGTTGAAAGATTGTAAATTTTCAATTCATTTTTGCTAAAAGTAAATATTTTTTATTAACTTTATAATAAAGGTCTTAGCTTGATAAATTGCCTTGTGCATCACTTCTTGTTCGTATTAGACTTGCCCCTATGAGTGAAGATGGTTTAAGAGCTCTTACACTAGATGATATTCAGAAGTAGGATTGGGAAAAAATAGGACTTTGGGTTCCTGCACCTCCTTATAGTATAGAAAGACAATCATTTTATAACACTTCATATTATAATTTGAGAGATAGTGAGAAAGAACTTTTCGTTATAAGACTCAATAGATAGAGTCCGCCATAAGTTGAGTTGTTAAATATTATAGTTAATGCTGTAGCCTAAAAAACAAAGCAAGACAGAATAGCTTAGGCAGAAAAGTTAAAATCTAAAATTAAACCAACAGAGGCAGAATTGGAAAGAGGAATTGTTACAAAAATAGATAATGTTGGTGAAGCTAAGCAGTGGATTGACAAAAATATTATTAGAGATCCATATACAGATATCATTGAGCTTTAATATTTTGCAAAATATAAACCAGATGCAGGTTTTAAATTCAGTTTAGACGGTTTCCACAACAACCCTCAAACAGATTAACCAATAATTGGTTTGTTTTGTCTTAATCCTCCTGGAGATTTGTATAAAAATCTTGGTGCAAAAACGGATACAGTCATATTAGATTCCGCCTTTAATTGGGACTCACCAATTATATCACCCTAGTTTAATGAAGGCTATTTCACTTTCCGTGGAATTGATTATTCAAAGGTAAGTTAGAAAAAATAATCTAATTTAAGTTAAAAAATAATTATTTAATTTTTATAAAATAGAATTTATCTATCATAATTGACTGCAGAAAAGTTAAATTTAGTGAGAGAGGAGACAAAGTTGTTATTGAAAATGTTGGATGGACAATATGTCCTATCTTTACTCCAAATGGATACGTAAAAAGTGGAATTTATCAAATTCCTATGTTTAAAGGATCTATTCCGATGCATGTCGTTGATAGCATTACCAGGTAAGATCCATGGGAGTACATAGAAGAATAGCTAAAAACTCCAAAAAGTGGAGTTGTTTACTACGAAAATATGAGCGCTATTATTAGACTTCTTGATGCTTAAAGAGATGTATATAATTAATTTTTCATTGGTGCAATTTTTAAATTATTTTATTATTTTAATAGGGTCATTATTAAGTACCTTTCGATCATACACGTATGATTTATAAGTACATTCCAAAGAATAGATTAGGTAGCTATGCGTACAATGCTGCTGTAGAAGTTAAACTCCAGAAGGCTAAGAAGCTAATATCTCTTGTGCCTAACAAAGCAAAAGTAAACGAATACCAAGAAAAACTTACACAATCAGTCATAAAAGTAATCATTTATTAACTTAAAAATATAATTAATTTTTTTTTATTTTTAATATTTATTTTAGAGTCTTGGATTAAAATGAGAATGACTGACATGTTTTTTACCAATTTAATTTCAACAAGTGATAAAATATTCTCAAGAAAACAAATATTTATTATTCAATTTTCTTATAATTCACATTTGCATTTGTATATATTTCATGTATTTTATAACAAAAAAAATAAATTCTATTGAACTTCAATAATACAAATTTTGAGTATGTTTAGATTGATGGATCTTATTTGCTTTTTACTTTTTCTATAATTACTAATTTGATTTCAAAATGTGACTACTGTAATTCATATATATTATATTTAAATACTGAAGATATTACTAACACATTTGGTTGCAGAATTTCTTAAAAAATATAAACGCTAATAAATTTATTTAAAAACAAAATTTATCAGATTATTTTTAAGTTACTACAAAAATGCAAAAAAAAATGTAACAATGTCAATTAAAATAATGAGCAAAAATTCATTAAAAAAACTATTCCATCATAATTATAAACATTTTTTATAGATCTAATTCATAAATTTGAGTTAAAAAGTATTTATTATTTTGGATTACTTGTTATTCAAATGAGCAAATGTAAATTGTTTTATTATAATTTAGAAAAACAATTTAAATTACATCACAATTACTATTTATTAAAATTAATTTAGACATAAAAACAAGATAATTTTTTTAATTAGTTTATTTAAAAAACACTTTGTAAACAAAAATTTTACAATTAAAAGATCCTTTTTTTTGTAACCAAAAATAAATAGATAAAAACTAAAAAAAATTTACCTGAAATGAAAAAATAACTAAAAATCATAGATTATTGATATAAATATTTTTAACAATTTAATTGATTAAAAAATATTTTAAATTTAAACAAATGTATGAATTAAAATTTGGATTTCAAATTTCAAATTTTTAGACTGATCTTTCTTAAAACATTTATTTACATATTCCCCTCAAATTCTTTTTAACATGCAAATTGAATATTTATTTATTTACTTATGAAATAAAGAATTTATTAGAAAAATTTCTTAAGAAAAATAATAGATTCTTTTCAATTTAAAATAAGCACTATGTAAAGCTAAATCAATAATATTGATTTTATAAGTATTAAAAGGGTATATAAATATTTAAAAAAATATAATATTTATTTCAAACAAAAAATATCTTAATTACAAAACTGAAATAAAAATTAAAAACTGATTATTAACATGAAGAATAAAGCTCTAATCCTAGTTATAATTTTAGGATTTGGTATTGCTTAACAATATAATTACCATATTCCAGATTTCCCTTCATCTACGCCAGACTATTCCTGTACTTGGTTAAATTGCAATAAAGAGCTACTTTCATATTCAGCAAAATTCCCTTCTACTGATCCTAATTTTTTTAAATATGCCAACCTTTTGAATTGCCATTCCTACATGGATAATACAGTAAGATAAGCTTGCTTCAAGGCAATAAATAATAGCAATATGCCATAAGAATTTCAAGATTTGAATAGCTGTGAAATAAAAAATTGTTACCTCCATGATTGGAATACATGCAGATAACAAAATCAAGCTTGCAAGTATTGTAGTGACTTTAAATTTTGTAAGAACTTCGAAGATAATACTGACTACTAAAACGCAGATTCTATTACAGGGACATGTGTAACTACAAAAGTAGCTCAAAATTGCTCTTAATTTACTGATAAAAATGGTTTTGCTTTTGTAGTGTGCTAATCTTATCAATAAAATCAATGCAGAAAATAATGGATAAAAGATAATTGGGATTCATCATAATCTTGCTAATTTTGTGATATAGAAAATTTTACATCTTACAGCTTTAGAAGTTATTTATCTATTTTAATTTCAAGCCTCATCTTATTTGTTCTTTTTTGACTTTAATTTTATATCAGTATTATATGGTAAAATTTATGTTTATATATTGATTTTTTTGTTTGGAATTAATATTATGATTTTATAAATATCTTTTTGTAAAAATGATGAAATTTTTTATTTTTTATATATTATTAACAAACTTTCAAAATTAGAGAGTATTTTTTAAAAAGCAAAATCTTTTAAAAGTCTTACTTAATCTTTAATTTAGTGAATTATCTTTTAAAAATTAATTAAAAAATAAATAAATATTTTGGTCTTTAAAAATAACTTTTATGGATAATTGATTAAAATTGAAGTATTGAAGCTAAAATTGTTATTTATTTTTTAGTAAAAAAATAAATAATGTTTTTTAATTAAATTATTCCAAATTAAAATTATGTATTTCAAATTTAATTAGAGTAAATTTACTAAATTCTATTAAATTTTTACTTTACTACCCTTGAGTTAGCTAGCTACTTGTTCTCGTTAATAGTTATTAAAATATTATTTTATGGTGATGGATGATTAATGGTATAATAAATCGATTTTAAAAAGGTATTATTAAAAATTTTATTTTTAATTAATTAACTAAAAAATTACCTTCTATATGAATATAATAAATAATAAAATCTGTAAAATATTCACTATTTTTAATACTTGATTGGTAAATTAAGAAAAGTAAGTTTTTTTTAAAACATTTTAAGATAAAGAAATTGAAGATAATATAGTTTGGTTAAAATAATTATGTTTTTATCATTTCAATTTAAAAATATTATATAGGATAAATATTTAAAAAAGTACACTTTTGAAGGATTTTATTTTTATAAAATTTTCAAATTTAAAATGTATTTTATTTGATTTTTTGAAAAAAATAAGTCCTAAAAAAATTAGGTGATGACTACGGTATACATAAAAAAATAATATCATAAAAATATTTATATTTAATATCTCTAAGTGTAAGTTAGTTGGAAAATGAACTACTAAGTTTGTTTACACTTATTATGTATGAATGAATATCTATCTATTACTTTAATTTATACTTCTGTAAATTTATTATCTTTAATTAATCATTAATTTTTTAATATAAACATTTTTTTTAATAAATACTAAAATACTTTTTTTCATTTAATTTATTTGATTTTCTTAAATTCAGAATTTAAATTAAAAATTTTATTATTAATTCTTCATAAAGCATAAATTCAGAGTAAATTCATTAATTTCCAAAAATCTTAAAATCTAAGCTTCTGTTTTAATTAAGCCTCTAAATATGTAGAAATTAAATTGTAATTTTATGCTAGCTTAAATTACAATAGTTACAATATATATCTTCATGAAAAGATAAAAAATAAGGAGACTGATTTATTGATATTTTTTTAGAAAGGTACAAGTAAAATAAGAATATTTAAAAAGTTTATTAAGAATTATTTTTTTAATCAAAATTATTAATGCCTGATAAAATTAATTAATAATCAAAGAAATACTAATCGAAAATAAAATCAAAAAAATGGAGTAATAGGATAATTGCTTTAATAATCTGGAAGATGTATCCATAATTATTAGTTTTATTTATCTTTATAAAATATTTTTTTTTAATAAAAAGTTAATGAAGTCTAACTTAAAAGCTCTAACTCTTATTGAATTACAGTTAAAGTAAGAAATATATATAAATATTTATATTTATATAATAATATTTAATGATAAATATTTAAAAACAATATTTTTTTTAATAAAAATAATTATTTTAAAACTTTTTCTCTTTTTTATTAATTTTTAAAATTTAAGAAAAAATAAAATCTAATAATTAAATATGATTTTCATTTATAAAAGCTCAAATTAAATTGGAGATAGAATAGAATAGAAATACTCGCACATATAAATGCACTCAGAATACAACTTAAAATTAATTTTTAATATGTATATTTATATATATTTTTTGTTTTTTATTTATTTGATAATTATTAAAGAAAACCATTTAGAACAATTTATATCTAATTTATGAATATTTTGCATATATACCCATTTTCCTCTTTTATAAAAAAACCTAAAATTTGATAAAAATAAAACGTAAAATCGATAAATTTGAATAGTTAATGAATAAATTTTTTTTTTTTTAAAGTGATAATAAAATAGGTAATGAAGGAGCATAAAATATAGGATTAGGCTTGAGTAACTGTTTTTAACTTACAAATTTAAACTTAGGCATATCGTAAATCTATTTTATTTATTATTTACTTTTGAAAAAATTATATGAATGCTTTTATTTAAAATCAAATAATCAAAAATTATTTTTATAAAGTGTCTTTAATTTTTAATTAAATATGATTTTCATTTATAAAAGCTCAAATTAAATTGGGGATGATGGAGCTTCTAGTATAGGTAGAGCTCTTGGTAACTGCAAATTCCTAACTGATCTTAACTTTTATATTTGGTAACATTGATTTTCTTTAGATTTATAGACAATATAAAAGTTTTTAATTATTTAATCTATTTTGACTTATATTTCTTAGGAAATTTGAATAGTTAATGAGTAAATTTATTTTTTTTGAAAAGGGATAATAAATTTGGTGATGAAGGAGCATAAAATATTGGATTAGGTTTGAGTAACTGCACTTAACTTACAAATTTAAACTTAGACATATCGTAAATCTATTTTATTTATTATTTACTTTTGAAAAAAATTATTTGAATGCTTTTTATTTAAAATCAAATAAATAATCATATAAAATATTTATAAAATGTTTTTAATTTTTAATTAAATATGATTTTCATTTATAAAAGTAATAATTAAATTGGAGATGATGGAGCTTCTAGTATCGGTAGAGCACTTGATAACTGCAAATTCCTAACTAATATTAACTTGTAGATTTGGTAATATTGATTCATTATTGATTTATAGACAATTTAAAAGTTTTTAATAATTTAATCTATTTTCATTTAAATTTCTTAGGAAATTTGAATAATTAATGAATAAATTTATTTTTTTTGAAAAGGGATAATAAAATCGGTGATGAAGGAGCATAAAATATCGGATTAGGCTTGAGTAACTGCACTTAACTTACAAATTTAAACTTAGGCATATAGTAAATCTATTTTATTTATTATTTACTTTTGAAAAAATTATATGAAATCAAATAATCAAAAATTATTTTTATAAAGTGTTTTTAATTTTTAATTAAATATGATTTTTATTTGTAAAATTAATAATTATTTGATATATTTTAATTTAAATTTCATAGGAAATTTGAATAGTTAATGAATAAATTTATTTTTTTTGTAAAGGCAAAATAAAATTGGTGATGAAGGAGCATAAAATATTGGATTAGGTTTGAGTAACTGCACTTAACTTACAAATTTAGTATTTTTCATATTGTAAATCTATTTTATTTATTATTTACTTTTGAAAAAATTTATTTGAATGATTTTTATTTAAAATGAAATAATCAAAAATGATATTTATAAAGTGCCTTTAATTCATTAAATATGATTTTTATTTATAAAAGTAATAATTAAATTGGAGATAGAATAGAATAGAAATACTCGCACATATAAATGCACTCAGAATAAATCTTAAAAAATATTAATTTATGTTAGTTTTATATAATTTTATTTAAGAATTTTAAAATAGTTTTTTTTTTATTTTATTAATTTTTTCTTTTTTTTTTAAGGATAATAAAATTGGTGTTGAAGGAGCGTAAAATATCGGATTAGGTTTGAGTAACTGCACTTAAATTACAAATTTAGTATTTAGCATATCGTAAATCTATTTTATTTATTATTTACTTTTAAAAAAATTATATAAATGCTTTTTATTTAAAATTAATGAAATAATTAAAAATGATATTTATAAAGTGTCTTTAATTTTTAATTAAATGATTTTCATTTATAAAAGCTCAAATTAAATTGGAGATGATGGAGCTTCTAGTATAGGTAGAGCTCTTGGTAACTGCAAATTCCTAACTGATCTTAACTTTTATATTTGGTAATATTTATTCTATTTTGATTTATAGACAATTTAAAAGTTTTTAATTATTTAATCTATTTTGATTTAAATTTCTTAGGAAATTTGAATAGTTAATGAATAAATTTATTTTTTTTGAAAAGGGAAAATAAAATTGGTGATGAAGGAGCATAAAATATCGGATTAGGTTTGAGCAACTGCACTTAACTTACAAATTTAGTATTTTTCATATCGTAAATCTATTTTATTTATTATTTACTTTTGAAAAAAATTATTTTGAATGCTTTTTATTTAAAATCAAATAATCATATATAATATTTATAAAATGTTTTTAATTAAATATGATTATCATTTATAAAAGCTCAAATTAAATTGGGGATGATGGAGCTTCTAGTATCGGTAGAGCACTTGGTAACTGCAAATTCCTAACTAATATTAACTTGTAGATTTGGTAACATTGATTCTATATTGATTTATAGACAATTTAAAAGTTTTTAATTATTAAATATGTTTTGATTTAAATTTTGCAGTAAATTTGAATAGTTGACAAATAAATTTATTTTGATTAAAAAGGGAAAATAAAATTGGTGATGAAGGAGCATTAAATATTGGATTAGGCTTGAGCAACTGCACTTAACTTACAAATTTAGACTTTAACATTTCGTAAATCTATTTTATTTATTATTTACTTTTGAAAAAAATTATATGAATACTTTTTATTTAAAATTAAATAATCAATTATGATTTTTGTAAAATGAATGTCTTTAATTTTTAATTAAATATGATTTTCATTTTTAAAAGCTCAAATTAAATTGGGGATGATGGAGCTTCTAGTATCGGTAGAGCACTTGGTAACTGTAAATTCCTAACTAATCTCGAATTTTAGATTTGGTAACGTTGATCTATATAAAAGATAATTTAAAAGTTTTTAATAATTTTATCTATTTTGACTTAAATTTTGTAGGAAATTTGAATAGTTAATGAATTTAAATATTTTATTTGAAAAGTTAAAATAAAATTGGTGATAAAGGAGTATAAAATATTGCAATAGGATTAAGTAAATGCACTTAACTTACATATCTATTTATTAATTTAGAGTAAATTTCATTTATTATTTTCTAAAAATAATTATTTTAAGTTTTTAGGATGTTTATTAATATATTTTTATTAAATAAGTAATAATCATAAGTTTCTAAAATCCAGTCAAATAATCAATTGTAAAAATATAAAGTTATTGTAATTTGTTTTTATAGTTTAAAATTAGATAATTAAAGTGGCAATTTTTTATTTATTTTAAAAATAAATTTATATTGAAAAGAAAATTGCACTACGAAGCAAAAACAGAAGACAAAATATTAGCTTAGAAAATCAAAAGATTAGTTAAAATAATTGTAGATTGAATTAACTTCAATTAAAATTAAAATATTAATTATTAATATAATTGTACGTATTTTTAACAAAAAGATTGGATACTAAAATTGTAAAATAAATAAATAACTAAATATATTTTATCTTTTAATTTGATTTTCTTAAAAACAATTGATTGAATATGATAATTTAATTATCACTAAAACAAATAATAAAAACATTTTATATATTTCGTTTATTGAATAAAATATTTCTTTTATATCTACTATATATTCTACCCATTGGCAAAAAAAAACTATTTTAATTTACACAATTAATCTATCTTTTCGTATCTTAAATATATTATATATATTTTACAATTTATGAGATTTAACTTCATCCATCCATCCATCCATCCATCCATCCATCAATTTCAATTCTTAATATCAAAAATTATATGATTTAAAAAAAACTAATAATATAATTTTATTGGTATTTTTGAATTAAATTTTTAATAGATAAAACATTAGATAAAAATTCTTAATTTTTCTTACTAAAAAATTAATCCCCAACTCTGATTATATAGGATACTATGTTGAAACCCCCTTATTATTAAATCAAATCAAATATTGTAAAAGCCCTATCAATATTTTAGCAACCTCTCCCAAATATTTTCAGTCAAAAATATCAAAAAGCTTAAACAATTTCCATTCGATGATTGACAAAATTTATATAAGAAAAAAATAGATAAAAAATATAATAGCTTTGTTTAAGTAATATACTTGAAATAAAGGCACCTCTTCCTAATTTAAGTTTTAGTAAATAAATGGACAATATAAATATATTATGATTGATTAGCTATTAATTAAGGTTTATTTTAATCATTAATTAAGTAGATTTTTTTGCATTTAATTAAGAATTAATTATCTTTATTTAGTTCATTGATTTATTTTTAAAAACTTTATAACAAGATAGCAACAATTTTTGTTTCTAAAACACCAGATATAAGGGTGAAAGAAATGGAAGCTGAAGACGATAATCAACAGATTTTTTGCAGTGATTTGATGAACCCTTATTAAGAAGTATTTCATGTCCTGTTTGAATCAGTTAGAGGTTGAAAGTATTAAATATATAGCTAGATTATTAAATTAATATAAATTAGTAATTAATATTAATTTGAAATATTTATCAATTTCTAGAGTGTAAAAAATGCAATGTACTTCATCAGGCAAATGAAGAATTGTAGAATAATTTGGATTCCGCTAGGGAATAAATATAAGTCTTAAAGGAAGAGTATGAATCTTAAATAAGCAAATGCAATTAGGAGTTTAAAGCCAAAATATTAGAGTTTAATAGTGAATTAATTAAGTAGAAAGAAAATTTTAATAGTTAGATGTTTTAGCTGAAGGAGAAATATGAAAAGACTATAATAAATAGAGAAGGTACATAGTATACAATTAATCTATAGAATTAGCAAGTATTTTAATTCATTATTTACCAATTGCTATTTTGATTTTACTATTTTATTAATTTTAAAGCTGTAAAGAAGATAAGAATATATTGAAAAATTGCGTGTGATACTTTAGAAAAAAGAAAACTAGTTGTTAAGTTAAAAGGATCAATATTTAATTAATCTTTCGAATTTAAAAAATAGTTCAGATTAATTGAACATTGATAAAATCGATAAAGAATTTAAGTAGGAATTGCTTAATCTCAAAAATGAATACAAAGAGTCGTTAACAAGGCATGAGACTGACAAGCAAATAGAAATGAATATAATTAAGGATGAGCTCAAAGATGCTATAATAGAGCGAGATTATTATATAAAAAAGTTTAGAGATAGATTGAATGAAAAAGAAGAATATAATAAAAGTGTTTATGAATCATAATGCAATTAAATATCCAGCATGATTAGCATATTAAATTAATAGCATTAAGTTTAAATTAAATTCTATCTAGCTCACATTAACGAACTTGAAAATTAAGTTATATAAGCTAAAAAGAATATCAGTAAATCAGCTTTATAAGATTTAGTACTTCAAAATGGATCCTCAATTTTTTGGTAAGAAGGTTTAGAGTTATATAAGCAACACAAAATTTAAGAAATACAAAAGATCCTCTTAGATATGAAGGAAAAGTAGCTAAGACATTCCCAATACTTGACAAAAAGATTTTACTCAATTGTTAAAGTAAATTAATTAATTATTCATTGAAATTCATAATTTCTTAACTAATAAAATAAATTTAAATATTATTTTATCAATAATTTAAATAATTTTTATTAATTTATAAAAAAAATCTCGAAAGAAATTTAACAAATTTTAAAAAAATAAAAAAACATGTTATTTAAAATCAATAAATTATTTTATGATGGCTAAAAATAAATTAATTTATTCTTTTTGAAATTGAAATTTTTTGAAAATAAATATAAAATATTTATTGAGTATTTATTTACTATCTTAAAAAAATCAATAAATGAATTTGTGATGGCTAAAAATAGATTTATTCTTTTTGAAATTGAAGTTATTATAAAATGAATATAACATTTATTTACTATCTTAAAAAAATCAATAAATGAATTTGTGATGGCTAAAAATAGATTTATTCTTTTTGAAATTGAAATTATTTGAAAATAAATATAATATTTACTTACTATCTTAAAAAAATCAATAAATGAATTTGTGATGGCTAAAAATAGATTTATTCTTTTTGAAATTGAAATTATTTGAAAATAAATAAAAAACATTTACTGAGTATTTACTAATTAGCTTAAAAAATCAATAAATGATATTTTGATGGCTAAAAATAAATTGATTCTTTTTGAAATTGAAGTTATTATAAAATAAAAAAAAAATATTTATTGAGATTTTACATAATAGATTAAAAAATATTTTTAAATGAATAAATTATTTTTAAAAATTTAATAATTTGAATTTTATGAATAAATTTTTAATTTAGAAAGAATTAATTAATTAAATGAAATTAGAAAATATTTTTGTTCCATTTTAGAAATTAGAGATAAAACTTTTATTATAAATAAATAGACAGCTTTAGTTATTGATAAATATGAGAAAAAATTTGAATTTATGAAGTAATTAATTGAAAAATAGCCTAATTAAAGTATTAAAGAAGAGTTTAATCATTTGCAATAAGATTAAAGTATTTATTTGAAAAATAACTCATTGTAAGTAAAATCTTTCCTACGAAAATAGGCAAATGATAACTCTCTAAAGCAGCTCTATTAAAGCTTGAATAATTTAGATATCATTTAACAAAAAAACGAATAAATAGTAAGTGAAAAAATAATCTAAATATTTAAGCTAGAATAGATAAATTAGGAATACGTTTAACAGATTCAGAAACTGAAAACTAAAATATAAAACCAAGATAATGAAAGGGTTGAATTGTTAAATGAAATAGAATAAAAATAAAAGAGAATTATTGAACTGTAAAATATCATTTAAAATGAAAATAAATAGTTCACACTAATGTTGCAGCTTAAGAAGGTTGAATTATAAGAATTAATTAAAATGAATAATCAACAAGTAGCATTAAAAGATAGGGATATAGTAAAATTGTGCAATGATTTAGAGTAATTGCAGGCTATGCTAAAAGAGAGACCGTCAAGAAATGAAGATCTTAAAGAAATCATAACTTTAAAGAGTTAGCTTGAAATTCAGACACAACGGTTTAATCAACTGAAATTGTATATACAGAGCAAGGTAGGTGATGAAAATTTTAAATTCTCTATGAATGGAGAAAAAATGATTGTTGATGATACAAAATCGAAAGTTTTTAAAAAATTAAATTCAAATCAAAGCACCTTAGAAAACTCATACAATTCAACAAACAGCAGACAGAAGGAAAACAGTTTTAAAAACATTCAAGCTTAGAAAGAAGACAATTCCCCTAAAAGAAATAATTAAATATATTTGTTTCACAATTAAGATAACTCAGATTTATCCTCAATATTGTAACACTAAAAACTATACACGAGATCAACAACTCCTTAAAATGTGAAAATTCAAAGTTCATCAAGAGTTGAAACAGAACCTAGTGTGTAATATAATAATACATTCAATACTATCCAATAAGATTCTAACTTATTGCCTAAAAAGCAATTAAAATTATAAAATTAAAAAGTCTATTAAACAATCTAAGATAGTATGATATAGACTGATTATTAAAGACCTAAAAGTTAATTAAATGTCAATTAACAAGATTAAATTGGGATTAATTACATGCAAGGATTTAAAAAAGAAATTTAGAAAACACATTATGAGCAAGTACAAATTAATAGTGATATTTTTATGAATAAAAAATTCACCTAAATAAAAAGATCATAAACTCCATAAATAGTGAGAAATAGAGTGTAAAATAGATAAAACGAAAATGAAAGTATAAAAAATCAATTTCTAAATAGTGATAATAGTAATGATTAACAGTATAATAATCAAGATGTTACTCTTTAGCATATAAATTAGTATTTAAATAATTATACTCCATTTGTTTTTAAAGTAAAGAAACACTATAGTCGATCTCAAACCCCATAAAATATTATCAGAAAAGAATGAAAAATATAAAAAAATAAATAAATAAATTTAATTAATTCTGTAAAAATATTTATTTTATATTAATTGACTTTAATAAAAATTTTTGAGGCTAATAAAATTTTCAATTTTTAAATTAATAAATAAATGTAAATTTGTTATTTAAATTTAAAAAACTTAAAATTTAAAATTAATTGGAATATTATTAATAGAAAAAGCTTATTAAAATTTAGTATTTTTTGTTAATTTTAATTAATTTTATGCAACATTTTATATGCTAAATAAAACTGCCGTTAATTTTAAATTAGTAAAAATATTAAAATTTAAGATAAACATATCTTAAAAAAAAAAATACAAAACACTCAATAAACCTTTAATTAAGATTTAAAATTTAATTTTTTAAATATTTTGGTTCATTTATATTAGATAAAATCAAAATCAAATCATTCTCTGATACAAAAAATATTAACTTTTTATATTGAAAAAAAAAATAAAACAAGAATGAATTACTAAATTTTAACTGTATTTAAATCAGATATAGTTTGCTTATTGAAATAAAATAAAATTAATTATTTTTTTCTTCATTAATTTCTTGAAAAATTTTTAAATAGTTATTTAGTTATGATTTTAAAATTATAATTACTTTATTTTCTATTTTTCTAAAATGATGAAATGATCTAATATCCAAATTTATGTATTTGTTTGTTTGTTTGCTTGCTTGCTTGCTTGTTTATTTTTTGTATAAAAAACAGTTTGCTTATTTGTTAGATAGACACTATGCTTTTAATAAATTCATATTAAATCTTTTTTAATAAATGCTGATGATTATTTTTATCAAAAATTATCTTTATTTAATATATTTGTTTGCTCTTAGATAATAAATTTCAATTAATTGTTTTGCTTCTTTTCAATTAGTTAATTACTGGTAAATCTTAAAATGATCGAAGAGGAATATTTTAGCGAAGAAGAAGAAAATCAATAACAGCAATAAACTAAATAGCCGGAGGAAAATTCTTGGCGCCCTACACAAACAGAGACATAGGAAGAATAAACTAATGCTGCAGCTTTAGAAAGCGAACAACATGAATAAACAAATTAGAAGTAATAGATTCAATTAGTCTACATGAGCAGAGCTGAAAGAGAGAAACTAAGATAAAAAGAGGAAGAAGATAGGAAAAAGCGTGAATAGTAAAAGCTGAAATAGGAAAAGCAAATTAGAGAAGAATATGAAAAGTTTAAATACAAAGAATGGAAGAGAGAATAGGAAAGGGAAGAAAGAAAGAGAGAAAGAGAATAAAAAGAGAGGGAAGAAAAAGAAAAAAGAATGAGAGAAAAAAGCAAGTCTCGTTCTAGATCTAGATCTGACAGTAGAGATAGAGATTCGAAGTATATGACTTCCAACACTAGAGCAACTGAAAAAATAGCAATTATAAATTCTACTGAAGACCCAGAAATTCAAAATATTAAAATACAATATTTGGGTTTGAACAAAGAGAAAAAGAAGATTTTAAAGCCATCTGAAAAATTCAAAAATATATTTAATTTTAAATGGGATAGCAGTGACGATACTTCTGTCGATTTTAATCCTTTATACAAAAATAAGATCCAGTCTAATTTCTTGTTTGGTAGAGGTATTTAAGCTGGTTATGATGTCAAAGAGTAGCTAGAAAAGAATGTTAAGTATGAAGATTTGATCCACAAATTTGATCCTGAGTACTAGAAAAAGAAATAGGAAAATAAGGATAAAGATAAAGATAAAGATACAAAGAGAAGCATTTACGATGTAACCACTAAAGACCATTGGTCATAGAAAAAATTTGATGAAATGACAGAAAGAGATTGGCGTATTTTTAGAGAAGATAACGATATTATTATAAAGGGTGGCAGAGTTCCTAAGCCTATGAGAACTTGGGAAGAAGGTGAACTCCCTCCTTACATATTAGATGCTGTCAGAAGATCAAAATATGAAAAACCAACTCCAATTTAAATGCAAACCATACCAATTGGTAATAAAATTAATTTTATTTATTTAAAACAATTCGTTTAAATCATTTTTATTCAATCTTAAATTTTAATATTTAAATAAATAAATAAATAAATAAATAGGTTTGTAAAGAAAAGATCTGATTGGTATTTCCTAAACTGGTACAGGTAAAACTTGTGCTTTCCTCATACCTTTAATTACATACTTGAGAAGTTTACCTCCGATGGATGAAGAAATAGCTAAAGATGGTCCTTATGCTCTTATTTTAATTCCTACAAGAGAACTTGCTCCTTAAATCGAAAAAGAATTCTAAAATTTGACTTCGAATATGAGAATGAAGAGTTTAGTTATGGTTGGTGGTAAGGATGAAGGAAACCAAGCATTTAAGCTAAAATTGGGTTGTGAACTTCTTATCGGTACAGTAGGTAGAATTAAAGATGCTCTTGAAAAAAATTATCTCGTTTTAGATTAAGTCTCTTGGGTAGTATTGGATGAAGCAGATAAAATGATTGATCTCAATTTTGAACAAGATGTCAACTTCATTTTAGATAAGTAAAAAAAATTATTATTAAACAAATTTAATTAAATAAAAAAGTAAAATAACATTTTAATAAACTAATTTTATGAAGAAATAGCTTTTCTTTATTAATAAAGACTAGATTATTTTTAAATTAGATTAAATTTTTTTTAATTTTAAATTAATTTTTATTTAAATTTAAGGATTCGCACAAATATGAAGAGTGAAGATGAAAATATGGCTGTTTTATAAGAGTAGGAAGCAAAGGTTGGTGAAAAAATATTTAGAGTAACTCACTTGTTTAGTGCTACTATGCCTCCTAATTTAGAAAGACTTGCTAAAAAGTATTTAAGATCTTTTTGCTATATCAGTATTGGTGAAGCTGGAGATGCCAAAAAGGATATTGAACAAATAGTTGATTTCATGTCAGAGGGTTAAAAGAAATCAAGACTTCAAAAAATTTTAGAAACGGCCAAACCTCCTATTATTATTTTTGCTAACGAAAAGACAGCCGTAGAAAAGTTATCAAAGATTTTAGATAGATGGGGAGTAATAAATTATTTTAATTTATTTATTAGAATAAAAAATTCTTTAAACGCAGTATTTAAAGGTGGAATGTTGTGAAAACTAAATTGATGTCTACATTCAAAATAAATACTGCTACATTTATCAAAAATTACTTTTAATTGACAATTATTAAGTTGATTAAAATTAACTTCAATTTTTAATGAATTAATTTGTTTATTTATTTTAGATATTTATTCTTATTTATTATTAATTAAAAGTGGTAAAATGTTATCTATCATGGTGGTAAGACTCAATAATAAAGAGAAGCAGCTGTTGATGGATTCAAAAAAGGAAAATATGATATTCTTGTTGCTACAGATCTTGGTGCTAGAGGTCTCCACGTTGATGGAGTTAAGATGGTTATTAACTTTGATGCTCCCAAAAATATAAAAGATTTCATTCACAGAACAGGTAGAACTGGTAGAGCAGGAAAACGTGGTATTGCTTACACATTCGTTACTAATCATAATGAAGCAATTATGTATGATTTAAGAGAGTTCTTATTCAAAAATAATTTTGATATCCCTTCAGAACTCGATACTCACCCAGCTGCTCAAACAAAGCCAGGAACTATTTCTGAAAACGTTCCTCGTAGTCAGTAAGTAATTTTAGCCTAGTAATGAATGAACGATCAAACAAACATATTAGGGAGAGATATTTAAAATTATTGTGTCGATCGATAATAAAATAAATTAAATTTAAAAAGTAAATAGTTATAAAAAACAATGCACTTAAACTATATCTAAAATAATATTTATTTCTATATTTTTTACATGTCTATATTATAAATAAAATTTAAATCATAAAACTTAATAAAAATACGTGATGAGTTGAAGTTAGTTACCTTAAGTAAGTCATCAGCGAAAAGTGTTCATTTAATTAATAAAAATGAAGGTTATTTTGTATTTAAATGCACATTTATTTATAAGGAAATATTTTTATTTGGAAATTATGTCATAAGGCTGTTGTTAAATGATGAAGCTGAATACTTTTTTATAAATTGCTTTTACTCAGGTGAAGAATATTAGCTCTATTGAGTACTAGGAATACATCTAACTGCTTATAAATTTGGCTATGTTCTTGATGGATCAATAATAATAAATTATTAAAATAAAATGAAATAAATTAATAAAAAAATAAATATACATGCTTGAAAATAAAAAATAAATATTATTTAAAATATTTTAGAAATATAAATTTAGTGAAATAATTATTGATAAAATGATTTATCGCATTTTAACTTTTAAGAAATTAATTTTTGTTTTTAATTATACATGCATTCATACATATTGACCAAGAGATAGATAAGGATATATAATTATATATTTATATATATGATTCAATTTATTCTAACAATTTTAAAACGCAATTTTTAATTTATTATAAGTAATTAATATACATTTATTTAAAGGATATATTATTATAGATAAGCTTAAAAGGTTGCAAATATCTTTATGAGCTTTAATAAGAATTGAAAAATGAAAGAATATTTGATAGTTTTCAGTTGATATTTGATATATAAATATTTTATTTAAATAAATTAATTTACAATAATTAATAATATTCATCAATTATTATTTATTAATTATTTTTAAAACAAATTATAAGTTTCAATCTTTTTCAATTAGCAAAGCATAGTTAGCTCGCTTTAAAATCAAGCAATATTAAAAATCATAAGTTAATTTTTAGTTATTAATATGAGTTTAGATGGAAACGAAAATATAGCAACTAAAACTATGAACCTGCCTATTTAAGAACATTTTTATAAACTTGAAGTAAGATGAAACTGATTTTTTCATTTTTTTTAAACATATTTTAAATTACTAAAAAGTGCATGATTGAAGAGTTAATTAATGATATTGAAGAAAATGATAAGTAGATTTAAATGCTAAAAGGAGATTTTTTGACATTAGGGTATGAGAATAATTAATAGAATGGAGATATTAGCTTATTTGTATAAGATGAAATAACTCGCTTAGGAAAAGAAAACTAATAGTAAATTTTATCAAATTAAGATGAAATAAGCGAAATAAAATAAATCATTAAGAGAGTTAAGGAACTCAAAAAGAGCGTAGGTTAATAAGTGGTTATAATCGATCATAGAGTCTAAGAATTAGAATCAAATATAGGTTTTAAATATTTCTTTGATCCAAATTTGCCTTCAGACGAAGTTTAAGATCCAAGATAGAATAATGTTTCACCCAAATAGGCTCATTTTGAATAAGAAAATCAAGAATATAACTAAGATAGTGAGGATTATCAAGATAATTATGATTAAGAATATTGAGATCATTTTTATTCTACAATAATTAACTCCTAATTTATAAACTATTTATTTTAAATAAAATGATCTTCATTTTATTTGTTTTACTCTTATTTTATATCATATTTCATTTATTGAATATAAATAGTTAAAAAAGTTAATAGCAAATAAAATATTTATTTAATATTTGTAAACTTAATTTATTTTATCGAAAAGCTTTCAAATCAAAATGTTTGATCATTTCCTTTCAATTTCTTTTGTGTAAAGCTTTTCATATTCCAAATAAGCAATAATACAGTATTAAAAATTTAAAATATTAGATAATATAGCAAATTTAATTAAAACAGTAAAAAAAACATCATAAAGTTTTACCTTTATTATATATTAAATATACTTACAAATCACCAATTTTGTTTTCTTAAACAGATTAAGTTAAAAATGAATCTATTAATTTTTAATGAATATTTATATAATTTATCATAATTCCTCATAAAGAGCTCTTTATCATTCAATAATAATTTTACTTTTAATAAACTCATAAGAAAAATTTAGAAATTCTTAATTAATCATTACACAAATTAATTAATTGCCCCCTAATCCTGAATATTATCTACTCCACTTCACAAAATTTAGCTAAATTAAAAATTTTTGATGTAAAAAAATTATTTATTTTTGAAATTATAATAAATTAAATTATTAAATATAATTCTATTATAAAATAAAAAAATTTATTTCATAATAAGTGGCATGCAAACCACACTATTTTTGTATGGCATCTTGCTATAATTAGGAGATATTATAAATATTCCTAAAATTAAAGAGCTAAAACAGAAAAATCTACTTATAAACATTATTTTTATAATACTTTAAGAACACTAACTACTATAATTTTTTCAAATATGACTAAATAACTGTCCATCTCTAATTCCTATCATATTTCTAAGTATATGTTTTAAATACAAATATTAAGTTTAAATAATGAATGTTAAATAATTTTTATGTGATATCTGTTCATAAAACAAAATATATAAATTAATACTTGATAATTAATTAATTATTATATTTATTTGTTCTTTTTATCCTTTTATAATTAATTAATTAATTAGTTAATTTTCATAAATTTCTATACAATATTTTTGAAAAAAAATAAATGATATTATAGATTAGAATATATAACAAATTAGAATAAGTAATTATTAATTTTTTAATTAATATCCTTTATATTTATATAAATTAATAAAAAAAGTTTATAAGCTCTTAACTTTTGTCTCATTAGGTTCTCCATATTGATCTTCAGTATATTTAATTAAAAAATATTATTTTTATTATTATTAATATTTTTTATATAATTAAATTTCAATCGATTATAAATAATTTTCATTATAGAAATTATCATAAATATTCATTGATTTTTATTAAAATAAAAAATTTTTAGCTTTTTTAACTTAATTTTCATTTCAATTATTATTTCTTATTCATTTTTTATTTTGATATTATTTCTTCATTTTTTGCTATTAAAACTTACACTTAAAAAAGCAGTTTATTAGTTTTGGATTGTAATATTTTTAATTATAAAAGTTAATTTAAAACACTAAAGCTAGCTCTTTTAGTTTATTTGATTTCTTTTCTATTTATTATGTTTTCTTTAATTATTAATAAATCTTATTATTTCATATTTTTTCTTTATTTTTTCCTTCTAATTAATGAGAGTGAAATGCCTATTTAATTTATAAAAGGTAAAATGTAATATATTTTAAAAACATAATAAATAAAGCTAAATTAGCTTAAAACAGCTTTATTTTTGAGTTTTTAGAATACTTTAAATTCACGAAATGCAAAATTTCAAATATTATATAAATACCTACCTATATTCTTATAACAAACATATCATTTAAAAAAAAAATTTTGAAAAATTTTACAAACGTGCATCAGGCTTAGGTTCTGGTTTAGAAAATTACATTAATCTCTCAAGTTAGACTCTTTACCTTATATAAAAACAGTTTATTTGTTTTGGATTGTGATATTTTGAATTATAAAAACTAATTAAAAACTATAAAGCTCTTTTTTCTTTTTCTTTTTATTGTGCTTGCTTTTTTTTGTTCTTTCTATGTTAATTTATTTAGCTCATCCTTTTATTTTCAAATTTTTTACTTTTATTATTAATTAATTAATCTTATTATTTCATCTTTTTTATTCATTTTTTCCTTCTAATTAACTATTTTATGATAAATTTTTTCTTCAATATTTAAAAAGTGAGAATTAAATTGGTGACAAAGGTGCATCATGCTTAGGTTCTGGTTTAGCAAATTGCATTAATCTCTCAAATTTGACACTTATACTTTAGTAAAAACAGTTTATTTGTTTTTGATTGTGATATTTTGAATTATAAAAACTAATTAAAAACAATAAATTCTTTTTCTATTTATTGTGCTTGCTTTTTTTTGTTCTTTCTTTGTTAATTTATTTAGCTCATCCTTATTTTTTCAAATTTTTTACTTTTATTATTTATTAATTAATTAATCTTATTATTTCATATTTTTTCTTCATTTTTTCCTTATCATTAACTATTTTATGATATATTTTTTCTTAAATATTTAAAAAGTAAGAATTAAATTGGTGACGAAGGTGCATCAGGCTTAGGTTCTGGTTTAGCAAATTGCATTAATCTCTCAAATTTGACACTCGACCTTCGGTAAAAACAGTTTATTTGTTTTGGATTGTGATATTTTGAATTATAAAAACTAATTAAAAACAATAAAGCTCTTTTTTCTTTTTCTTTTTATTGCGCTTGCTTTTTTTTTTTCTTTCTTTGTTAATTTATTTAGCTCATCCTTTTATTTGCAAATTTTTTACTTTTATTATTAATTAATTAATTAATTAATCTTATTATTTCATTTTTTTTTTTATTTTTTACTTCTCATTAACTATTTTATGATATATTTTTTCTTCAATATTTAAAAAGTTAAAATTATATTGGTGAAATGGGTGCATCAGGCTTGGGTTATGGTTTAGCAAATTGCATTAATCTCTCAAATTTGACACTTTACCTTAGGTAAAAACAGTTTATTTGTTTTGGATTGAGATATTTTGAATTATAAAAACTAATTAAAAACAATAAAGCTCTTTTTTCATTTTCTTTTTATTGTGCTTGATTTTTTTGTTCTTTCTTTGTTAATATATTTAGCTTATCCTTTTATTTTCTAATTTTTTACTTTTATTATTAATTAATTAATCTTATTATTTCATCTTTTTTCTTCATTTTTTCCTTCTAATTAACTATTTTATGATATATTTTTTCTTCAATATTAAAAAGTTGGAATTATATTAGTGCAATGGGTGCATCAGGCTTAGGTTCTGGTTTAGCAAATTGCATTAATCTCTCAAATTTGTATCTTGGCCTTTAGTAAAAACAGTTTATTTATTTTGGATTGTGATATTTTGAATTATAAAAACTAATTAAAAACAATAAAGCTCTTTTTTCTTTTTCTTTTTATTGTGCTTGCTTTTTTTTGTTCTTTCTTTGTTAATTTATTTAGCTCATCCTTTTATTTTCAAATTTTTTACTTTCATCTTTTTTCTTCATTTTTTCCTTCTAATTAACTATTTTATGATAAATTTTTTCTTCAATATTTAAAAAGTTAAAATTAAATTGGTGACGAAGGTGCATCAGGCTTAGGTTCTGGTTTAGCAAATTGCATTAATCTCTCAAATTTGACACTTTACCTTTCGTAAAAACAGTTTATTTGTTTTGGATTGTGATATTTTGAATTATAAAAACTAATTAAAAACAATAAAGCTCTTTTTTATTTTTCTTTTTATTGTGCTTGCTTTTTTTGTTCTTTCTTTGTTAATTTATTTAGCTCATCCTTTTATTTTCAAACTTTTTACTTTTATTATTAATTAATTAATTAATTAATTAATCATATTATTTCATCATTTTTCTTCATTTTTTCCTTCTAATTAACTATTTTATGATATATTTTTTCTTCAATATTTAAAAAGTTAAAATTAAATTGGTGCAATGGGTGCATCAGGCTTAGGTTCTGGTTTAGCAAATTGCATTAATCTCTCAAATTTGACACTTCACCTTTCGTAAAAACAGTTTATTTATTTTGGATTGTGATATTTTGAATTATAAAAACTAATTAAAAACAATAAAGCTCTTTTTTCTTTTTCTTTTTATTGTGCTTGCTTTTTTTTGTTCTTTCTTTGTTAATTTATTTAGCTCATCCTTTTATTTTCAAATTTTTTACTTTCATCTTTTTTCTTCATTTTTTCCTTCTAATTAACTATTTTATGATAAATTTTTTCTTCAATATTTAAAAAGTTAAAATTAAATTGGTGACGAAGGTGCATCAGGCTTAGGTTCTGGTTTAGCAAATTGCATTAATCTCTCAAATTTGACACTTTACCTTTCGTAAAAACAGTTTATTTGTTTTGGATTGTGATATTTTGAATTATAAAAACTAATTAAAAACAATAAAGCTCTTTTTTATTTTTCTTTTTATTGTGCTTGCTTTTTTTGTTCTTTCTTTGTTAATTTATTTAGCTCATCCTTTTATTTTCAAACTTTTTACTTTTATTATTAATTAATTAATTAATTAATTAATCATATTATTTCATCATTTTTCTTCATTTTTTCCTTCTAATTAACTATTTTATGATATATTTTTTCTTCAATATTTAAAAAGTTAAAATTAAATTGGTGCAATGGGTGCATCAGGCTTAGGTTCTGGTTTAGCAAATTGCATTAATCTCTCAAATTTGACACTTCACCTTTCGTAAAAACAGTTTATTTGTTTTGGATTGTGATATTTTGAATTATAAAAACTAATTAAAAACAATAAAGCTCTTTTTTCTTTTTCTTTTTATTGTGCTTGCTTTTTTTTGTTCTTTCTTAATTATTTTATTTAACTCATCCTTTTATTTTCAAATTTTTTACTTTTATTATTTATTAATTAATTAATCTTATTATTTCATATTTTTTCTTCATTTTTTACTTCTAATTAAATATTTTATGATATATTTTTTCTTAAATATTTAAAAAGTGAGAATTAAATTGGTGCAATGGGTGCATCAGGCTTAGGTTCTGGTTTAGCAAATTGCATTAATCTCTCTAATTTGACACTTTACCTTTTGTAAAAACAGTTTATTTGTTTTGGATTATGATATTTTGAATTATAAAAACTAATTAAAAACAATAAAGCTCTTTTTTCTTTTTCTTTTTATTGTGCTTGCTTTTTTTTGTTCTTTCTTTGTTAATATCCTTTTATTTTCATATTTTTTACTTTCATCTTTTTTCTTCATTATGAAATATTTTTTCTTTAATATTTAAAAAGCAGTAATTAAATTGGTGACGAAGGTGCATCAGGCTTAGGTTCTGGTTTAGCAAATTGCATTAATCTCTCAAATTTGTTACTTTACCTTTCGTAAAATCAGTTTATTTGTTTTTGATTGTAATATTTTGAATTATAAAAACTAATTAAAAACAATAAAGCTCTTTTTTCTTTTTCTTTTTATTGTGCTTGCTTTTTTTTGTTCTTTCTTTGTTAATATATTTAGCTTATCCTTTTATTTTAAAATTTTTTACTTTTATTATTAATTAATTAATCTTATTATTTCATATTTTTTCTTCATATTTTCCTTCTAATTAACTATTTTATGATATATTTTTTCTTCAATATTTAAAAAGTTGGAATAAAATTGGTGACAAAGGTGCATCAGGCTTAGGTTCTGGTTTAGCAAATTGCATTAATCTCTCAAATTAGACTCTTTACCTTTCGTAAAAACAGTTTATTTATTTTGGATTGTGATATTTTGAATTATAAAAACTAATTAAAAACAATAAAGCTCTTTTTTCTTTTTCTTTTTATTGTGCTTGCTTTTTTTTGTTCTTTCTATGTTAATTTATTTAGCTCATCCTTTTATTTTCAAATTTTTTACTTTTATTATTAATTAATTAATCTTATTATTTCATCTTTTTTATTCATTTTTTCCTTCTAATTAACTATTTTATGATAAATTTTTTGTTCAATATTTAAAAAGTTAGAATTAAATTGGTGACGAAGGTGCATCAGGCTTAGGTTCTGGTTTAGCAAATTGCATTAATCTCTCAAATTTCACACTTGACCTTTGGTAAAAACAGTTTATTTGTTTTGGATTGTGATATTTTGAATTATAAAAACTAATTAAAAACAATAAAGCTCTTTTTTCTTTTTCTTTTTATTGCGCTTGCTTTTTTTGTTCTTTCTTTGTTAATTTATTTAGCTCATCCTTTTATTTTCAAACTTTTTACTTTTATTATTAATTAATTAATCTTATTATTTCATCTTTTTTCTTCATTTTTTCCTTCTAATTAACTATTTTATTATATATTTTTTCTTCAATATTTAAAAAGTATGAATGAAATTGGTTACGAAGGTGCATCAGGCTTAGGTTCTGGTTTAGCAAATTGCATTAATCTCTCAAATTTGACACTTGACCTTTCGTAAAAACAGTTTATTTGTTTTGGATTGTGATATTTTGAATTATAAAAACTAATTGAAAACAATAAAACTCTTTGAATTTATTTGATAACTTTTATTTGATTTATTTTTTTATCTTTATTATACCACTAATGCTATTTTATTTATTAATTTAAGAAATATTTTTTAATTTAAAAGTTTATTCTATTTTGATATTTATTTAAAATTTACACAAATTTATTATAAAGTATTGGCGAAATCAATGAATCATAAAAATTCAAAGTTGTAAGCGAGTGTCTTAAATCAAAAAAATTAGTTGTCTTAAAAAA